AGAAAATAAGTGAAACAAAAATATATTTTCATCGCATATATCAAAGTTGTGTTTCTCTCCTATTATTATTGAATTTAAGCGTTGGATGAATGCAATGTTGGATGAATACAATGTTGGATGAATGCAATGTTGCACATAATATAAATGTGAACTTATTGTTTAATATCGCATCTCCCGGTGCCTCAGTATTACCAGTGCTGACATATGAAAACCTCGTTTTTCACTGACATATAAGCTTATAATTTTGATTGTTTCAAAAAAATTTGCTACAAATTTACTACAACTTTGTTCACTATAATCATAATTCATATAAAATTTGTTACAACACATACTTTGCTCAATATATTAGCGCATTATATGTTATAATTCATGTGTAATAATATAAGAAAAGTCATTATTTTTCATATTTTGAATGAAAATAAATCTCTTTTTTCACATAACAATGACTCGTATTTATTGATTAAATATATCATTTGATGTCAATATCAGTCTTAATAATTTGATGCCTTGTTGTCTAAACTTTTGTGATTAGTTTTGGGTAATTTGATTCTCAGGTAATTTCCAAAACAAGGTATCATATTTCATATCAATACTACCGTCCCATTGACGGTACCTTTACATTCAATTATTATAGTAGATTCACACACACACACACACACACACACACACACACACACACACACACAATCTATGTTTCCAATTAAACAAAATATTTTTCTATAAATTGATATTATGATTTTAATCATATATTATTTTGTGAATAGGGATTATATTTAAACTTATTATTATTTTCCAATTGTTGTCTAAGTATCAAATAATGTTTTCCCAAACTATTTTATGTCATACTTTACTTTTTTCTGCGATACTGTAATACTTATCTTACAATTAATTAATTTTTATATGTATTATATATTTATTATAATTTCATAGTAAATCACATAAAAATTAATTCATAAACAGATCAAAAACAAGATATGAACTAAAAAGAAAAATGTTTTAATAATAACATGTTTTTAGATGATTTTGAAGGTATTAAGATTTTTTTTGTCAAAATAAGTAATAACTGGTTTATTGGAAACAAGTATTGATAACAATACCAATTTGTAGAATCAATAAATAAAATAATTAGTGATAAAACTGCTAAATGAATAATATGCTGAATAAATTGATTGTGAAGTACTGTATAATATAATATAATATAATAAAGTCCAAACACTTCCTATACTACTATATGCCAGTGCTTTCAGGCTCTCAAATGAGTCCGACACCCGCTGTTGTATCTTATAGTGTGCCTGTTGTGGACTAACAACACAAATACTAATACCAATAATAATAATAATTATTATAATAAATATAACACAAGTATTGGAAACTCTATGGCTATGAGATTCATGAGATGCTAATCACCACAAAAAAGAGAGTGTATTACCACACAGAGTATACTAAACATGAGAGCACAGGCAGCTTTTGATAGCTGATCCCAGGGGTAGCTTTAGTTTTCCCACAGAAAAGAGGCAAAAGACCGACAAATAAGGGCAGGGATTTTGGATTTGATGCTCAATATTGTGTATATTTTGATGGATATTATAATAATTATCAGATAAAGAGTACGTTTATTAGTTGATGTGTTCACGTGTTGCTATAAAAGCAATACTTTGATTACAAGAGCTGATAAGCTTATAGTTGTAATAAATATTAAGTATAAATGAGAGTATAGACGGAATGACACTCAAAAAATTATATTATTTAATAATAATAATAACAGTTAAATTTCAATTTAAACTACTGCCCAATAAATATAATAATAATACAATATATTCATAATTAATTAAAATCTCGTAAAATATATTGAAAACAATTTATTTCTAGTATTTATTATTATTATTATTAAGCATATCGTGTGAATTAATTCCAAACTAAAAATTATTTATATTTTCCTATATATCTGTCATTTTATAATGAACTCTAACTCTTAGATCTTTTTCATATCTAATTTAAATTTATGATTAAACAGATATTTTATTCTATGTTAAGGTTGTTTAATACACAAAAATTTCTGCATTTTTTAATAGACTAAATGTGATAACTTTGTTCAACACTTGATTTACTGTTTAGTAAAAAAAAATATTTGAATGCAGATCTCTGAGACATTTGTATGGATTGAATTCAAGTCACGAATTATCGCTCGTTATTACATTTTTAGCATTCAATTAAATATATATAAAGTATATAAAACTTTACTAATATAATGTGATATACACTTTTTAAAGTATTTTTTAAATATAGTGTATTTATTGATTAGTCCATAAAATTACGAGAGAAGGCATGAACTGCTTGCATACATGACTAACCCCTAACATGTAAAGCCGTGAGCTTATGTTATAGACTTCTCGTTAGATATCTTATGGTTCACCGCTAACTGAGTCGTGTTTCACTTGAAATTAACCCAATTATTTGTCGGACTTATATACATATATATATAGTTGTGATGAAGCATTCAATTAGTGGATGGCATCGTATGATTGTATACTCTAGTATAGTATGTGTGTGTATTGAGGCGTTTGTCGCCCTTAAGAAAAATTATCTGTTCATTAAACAAATAAATTTTTTGGTTATTTAAGTGCTGATACCAAAACCAGTGAAACAAAATCACTATTTGCTTGTTAGTCAATAGATCTGAATGTATGTATTTGTATGTCTTGTTGAGTCAAACTTGTGATACATCGTTGATATTGTGATGGATGTGTGATATTATATATAAAAAAAACTTATTGTTTTACTAATACATCGAGACATAACTAAAGACAATATAAGTTAGACTATAGAGTATATGTTAGATAATGTAATGTTGTTTGCAATTATTAATAATAGAGTTATAACAACGAAAATGTTGTCTCTATAGGAGATATATTAGAGAAAGCAATGGTAGAGAAAGTCTATAATTATTTACGGAATATGAATGAATGACCATTACTTTTGTTTGTTACTCTCATATATCCCTGTCCAACGTGACTGACCCTAACAAAGAGAGAGAGAGTGAGAGCACTGTTAGCCTTAATTATAGCCTTTAGTAAATGTTGTACATCTTTTAGTGACTCTTGTCTAATCCGTGACCCAACATATAACGGCAGCAAAAACGACAACTCATTTATTTCAACATATTTTCCGCTAACTATTTATCTATATTTTGTAAATAATAAATCATATAATAATAAATTAATCAAATTTTCTCACAACATATAATTTAAGCCTTATTTTCTTGTTGTTAACATTTGACTCTACTTTAATAGATAGTAATAAAAGTTTATTGCATATAATTTAGTCGCAAAATTGAATATTATTGATAATATGTGTCTATAATATTTTTACTCAACTACAATAGCTTACGATTTTAAATCATATTATTTATTAAATTTTGAGTATATAATAATCTGTTTAACATTATTAATCAATAAAACAAATTTAATAATTTATTTGTAAAGTCAAGTATAGTGTTGTATAAACTCTAGTTTATAATGTAATGGTATGAATCATATAATTGCTGAAATGAGATGACTGTTCTTTAGCCACTAAAAGGCCTAACGAGTCAATCGATATCTCCATAATCAAGGCTTTCCTCGTAAGTCACAGACAGATAGATAAAGACATCACTAAAAGCAATGAAAATATTACTGCAAACGAAGTGATCCGTTTGTTTTAATAGATGGTTATCTTCATTGAATGACTGTATGGATGAAGCGGTAAATTATAGCCAACTGTTAGTCAACTAAAAGAGATTTTGTAAGACAAACAAAAACTTTCGGTCAAAACGACAAAATCTTTCTTCACTAATGATGTCATGTCTTCCTACAAATCAAATCTAATAATAGGTCTCTTAAAGACAATTTATTTACAAATGTGGTAAAAGGCATCTCTAATACAATCATAATAATTGTTAAGTTTTGATAACAAACAAAAAACTTTGAAATCAAAATACAAAACTAAAAAGCTTTAAATTATAACTATTTTATACTCTATTATTTGAATCATTCAAAATATTGTTCACCATTTATCACTCAATTTTTAAAAAGCTTAAATTAAGTTTTTCAATACAATAATAAATTGGTTGAAAACGATATAGAAATATGACTTCAAAATTACACTACAATAACAATTTTAAAATAATTCATTAAATAATATTAAATAATTGAATAATTTTGTATTAAATCATTATATTTTATTGTTAACTGTTTAAAACATTAAATATAAATTTCTAAATAAACCAACAAATGTTGTTATTGTGTTTTGATTAAACTTAAAAAAGTTGCCCACTTAAATTTTTAACTAACTATTATATATGTAATAATATAAAGCATAATTGAAGTATATTAATCCACAACACAATTAATTTTACAATTTTTGCTATTGAAAGCAATTTCTAAAAATTATGCATTTTATATGCGGTATACTATAGTATTATAATTTATAAATGTATTAATATAATCATTTTTACAAATAAATACTGTACTAAATTTTAAAATCTTTATAAATTAGGATTGCGGCAAATTTATGATGAAAGGAATTTTCCAATAAAATTCCTTTTAATTTCTCCTAAAAAATAGTAAATTAATTTTTTTTCCTAAACCGTTACACAAGTGACCCTAAAATCAAAATCAAAATAATAATAATAATACAAATAGATATTATAGGAAAAATATGTGATTGCATGGAAATAATTAGATATTTTGAGAAAATTAGATAATGTATAACATGTGGTAAATTTAATTATATTATTAATTCAATGGTATTATATGACAATAAGGATAATTAGGAAAATATATTATTGGGAATTAACTTAACAATATTTAAATTTTATTTTGAAGTTATTTGTAGAAAATTAAGACAAATGTTAATTAATTTTATTTATTATTGTATTTTTCAAATCAAACAAATAATTTAAATTAATTAAAAAATTCATTAAAAATATATTGAAAATTGATTTTAAAAATGAAACGAAATGACTATTGATTATTAGTGACATCAATGGTCTCATTAATCGGTGGTTTCTCCAAAACATTGTCAATAAAACCTAATTGTTTTGCCTCTTCAGGACTCATGAAGCGATCCCTTTCCATACTTTCCTCTATCACTTCAATCGCTTGTTTGGTATGTTTGGCGTACAAACCGTTAATACGTTTCTTGAGTAATAAAATTTCTTCGGCGTGAATGCGAATATCGGTGGCCTGACCTGAGGCCTGACCCGACGGCTGATGGACCATAATTCGCGAGTTTGGTAACGAATGTCTCATCGACGGCTCGCCGGCGCACAGTAATAGACTGGCCATAGAGCAGGCCTGTCCCACACACCACGTGGCAATCGGTGGCAATATGTATTGCATTGTGTCATATATGGCCAGACCCGATGTCACAACACCGCCGGGACTATTGATATACAAATGAATCGGTTTCTTAGAGCTTTCCGATTGTAGAAATAGCAGTTGTGCGACAACTAGTGAAGACATATTGTCGTCAATCGGTCCCATCAAACAAATTATACGTTCTTTTAATAGTCTGGAGTATATATCATAAGATCTTTCACCTCTTCCGGACTGTTCCACCACTATTGGCACCAGAAATGATTGCGGAGATGACATACCATTGTGACCACTCCAGCAATTACTTTGTTGACGACACTGACCTACTGTTGAGGTCTTTGTGATCAACATATTGTTCAGGTTTGACCGCAACCCATGTCTAATCAGTTTCGTAAACATTATCCACCACTTAATCAATGTCTTAATTGATGAAAATGACAGCAAATGTATTAAACAAATTCAAACTTTTAAGTCAAACACAAAATGCAAAACAAATCATTGAAATCATGTGTTTGTCTTTGATATCAATGACATAACCAGTGCTGACATCCATCCAGTGATCGACAAAACATAAGTCACACAAAAATATTCATATATTTTGTAAACAATTTGTATTCAAAATAATAGTTGAGTTTTGAAGACATTATTAGTTATATCAACGCAAACATCACTTCTTTGAAAAGTAAGTATTAAATCATCACTTAATTGGTTACAAACAATCATTTGGTAATCATAATGACTATCCGTATCGTAACCAGTGGTCAACTATAAGCCGAACCCGAACTCGATATTTATAAAACCTTACGGCACTGTCCTCTTCTTCGGGCTAATGGGTGCCACTATTATTGGACATCAGTTATATATACGCTATAATACATCACCGCCGACACGACCACTGCTGGAGTTCGCCCGATGGACACTCAATAGGCGATGGTTTCCGAAGGAGTGATACTTTATATTTCAATAATAGGATTTCATTTTATTAATTGTAGAAAAAATGTTAATTATATATAAAATACTGTATTTAGTGATTAACTGATTATTATTATAAAAAATTGGTGTCAATTGAGAATCGAGTGATCTTTGATTAATGGTATCAATGATTCAAAACTGGTTTCAAAACATATTTTGATTGCCTTTTGTTTTTGAGACTCAAATGATTCACAAATTTCTTGATTGACACAAACTATTGTCGATTTGTTTGTCTCTAAACTTAATAAATACTTTTCAATTGATTCGTACAATGATTTTATATTGTCTTTGATTGCAATCAATTCGGTGACCATTTCTTGATTAGTCTCTAAATTCTTCGACAAAGTACTGAATTTTTTTCAAATTAATATTTTTTAAATAAATAATTCATTTAAGACATGCTTTTATAAAATATTTTACTCAATGATGGCCTCAAATGAAGAGACGGCAAAAAATGGTGAAAACGATCGCTTGAATCCCATGTCAAATGACATCTGAAGAGCTTTATCTTTGCCTTCTTGTATACCATCTCTGAAACCATCCTTTGTTTAAATAATAAATATTTAATTAAAAAATAGTAATTAATAACAAAAATAAAATATTATATCAAACTTTTTCAAAGTTATCATTTAAACGGTTCCACTCTTTTGAGGCTAACTCCAGATCTTCATTATCGCTGTCGTTATCATTAAAAATATCACTCATCCTATCGTTTGACAAACTTTTGTTGAAATAAATAAATAAATAAATAATTAAAATATTATTGTATTTTAATAAAAATGAAATCAATTTTATTAGTGATAATAATGTCTTTGAAATTGTCTAACAAAATGTGTAACAATAGTATCGACACATTGTTTGCGGTAATCAATGACAACACAAACTTCAATACTATTACTACAAATCAAAGCCATTATAACCCCTAAACTGTTTGAATGACATTACATATGATATTAATATAATAATATTGTTTAACATTTTGTGTTACTTTTATTAAAGCGTAACGATATATATGAATGAATTGTTAAAGCATTGCATCGTTTGTTTTGTGACCAGAGTTTCGGTGATAATGATTGTGAAGATTGACATCAAATGTGATTGTATTTAATAGTCGTTTCAAACCATTTTATTTGAGACAATTGTTCATCAATTAATTGTCGACAAACATCTGCTTTTGTTTGCTCAAGAAGTAAACTATAGACCTGTTATCAACAATGGATATAATGCGACCAAAGTTGACCCGAATCGGCGATTTCTGTTTCAGACGACTTGATATTGTCAACGATGGTGTCATCGATGACTATAATAACGATCATACGTTTTGTATCAACAACTTTGATGTGACCGCCGATGACATTAAGTGTGAAAATATGAATGACTCGAAATGCAAATCAAATGATACAAAGCCATCGATTGATGTGTTGGAAGCCATGGAGTCCGATGAGGACGACGACCAGATTATTGTCATCGATGGACGCTTTAGACTTAAGATGAATGTATCCAAAATGTTTCACAGATTTATTATTGGCGAAAGAGGTCTTAATCTTAAGCGTATTGAGTCTTATACCAGAACTCGTATAAATATACCGAAAGTAAATGTCAAGAGTGACGAAGTGGTGATCACTGGAAATAATAAATTAGATGTAAAAGACGCTAAGCTTCGTATTAATGAGATTGTGATGAAATCACGACAAAAGACAGATTTCACACATTTTGTGTCCATTCCTTTCAATGATAAGTTGATTATTGAAGAGTTTGATAGATTCCGAACACAAGTGATAAATGACAATCAAAATCATGGCATTGAAGACGAGTTATTTCAAAGTAGATCTAAACTACACTTAACTGTTGTCCCGCTTTTGTTGAGCGACCAAAATGACAGAGAAAAAGCCACACAAATACTTGACAATTGTCTTCGTAATGTCATAAAACCATTGACTGGCGGACAACCTATTGGTGTCCAACTTAAGGGCATTGACTATATGAATGACGATCCGACACAAGTGAATGTGTTGTACGCAAAAGTTGTCGACATGTCTGACAATAAATGCTTGCAAACCATTGCTGACCACATCTTTGATTCATTTGCCGAAAGTGGACTAATAAGTGGAGCAAAGCATGAATTTGATAGAGTCAGTGGTGGCGCTAAAGTCAAACTACACGTAACTTTGATGAACTCCAAGTTTAGACTCAAGACATACGGTCAGCAAAGAGATTGGCGAAGAAATCAACCAAAAAGACAAACGTTTAACGCAACAAATGTATTGAAACAATTTGGTGACTATTGTTTCGGTCAAATAGACGTTAAATCTATTGAAATATCCGATAGACACTCAAACAAAGGAGTCGACGGTTATTATTCTCATTCATCGAGAATAGAGTTTTGATTTTATTTTTTTTTCTAAATTTTTAAGTTTTAAATCTATAACTAATTAAATATTTAATTTTAAATCTTTATATTTCCACATATTTTTTATATAATTTGTTAATTTATTTTTTATAGAAGTTTATTTAATTTATAATTATCGTAATTTTCACTTAAGTTACTTAAGTAAAAAATACTTACCGATAATTGTATAATTAATGTCAAATTTTATTTAATACATTACCGATAAAATAGAGTGCTATAGAGAAATAAGTGCTCTATAGATGTATGTCCTGGTGTTAAAAATTTTTTCAATTTTTGCTATTTAATTAAACAATTAGTTACATAAAATATGCCAATAAATGTTGACAATTATTATCTTACCGGTAATGTATATTTTATTTTTTTTTATTAAAAGAGGATAACATAAATAATAATAATTTTATTAATAACAAAATAAATAAATTAAACAATATAACACATCTATAATAATTGTGTATCAATACATTATATAAAATATGCAAATATTTTAAACAACAATTATATCACAATAACTTTAATCACTGTTCACAGAATGGGAATCATTGTTTGGTTCCGATTGAATATCTTTTAATAATTGTATTAAATTAATTAACCCGAATATGAATCCCTGATCGGGTCCATTGTTATCAGTGTGATTAGCGTCTAAATTGTTATCTAAATTGGTATCTAAATTGGTGTTTGACTGGTAAACAGTGTGAGCGAAATCAATGATTCGGATGTCCACCAAATTAGTATTGTTTTGACAATTGTTTCGATCAAAGCTTCCCTCATAAATGATAAGCAATGAAGTTGTATAGAAACGGAAGTAATTCAAGTTTTCAATGACTGCCAACAGTTTCTCCAACTTTTCAATCATTAGACCAATTAATATAACTTTTGATTGGCTATCCATCTGAAGAAATGTTTTCATTGTCTTCAAAAATCCTTCGGTTGTTAGAGTTCTTCCGTAGTATTTATTGTGACAAATAAAACGATCGGAACTTTTGTTGTAAACCTTTTTTTTATATTTATATATACCGTAATGTTAATTATAGACAATTGATTGTTAAAATATAAAGCCACACAAATCTAATTATATAAATACCTGAACACCAGTAATCCTAAGACCAAGAGATCCAGACGTAGTTTTAGATACTTTGATTGTATGACTTAATATTTTGGACTCATTAGCAAAGTCATCGTACTGTCGGACACCCATTTTGATGTCCATAACACACGGAAACTTGTAATTATATGTTAGGTTTTCCAACAAAAGAAATTCTATAAAATTTGATGACAAAATATATTATTATATAATTAATTAATTACATCATTAAATTTATCTCATTTACTACTACTTCTTCTATTAATTTTTTCAGTTTCTTTAAAAGCAGACATTGTCCTCAATATCCATGGATTGTGTATCTTTGTCTCGCACTTATTGGTGACTTCTTTCTCAATATAATGATTTACATTTTCGAAACAATGATTGCATTCAATGTGTGGTAAATCATGATCTGTGACACCATTGCTTTCAATTAGGAGATCACCACTAGGTTTACATAATTTAATTCTGAACTTATTTTTCTGTTGACTTTTGTCCTCTTCTGGACAATTGTTTGGCTGCTTAGCAGTGATTGTTAGATATCCATCAGAGCTCTCCGTTAAATAGACTTCACTTATACCACGAAACTCAGGCACAAATGGTTTCAATTGAGGCGGAAGTGTTTCATAAAATGTCAGTTCCCGGGAATTGATTGGTTTACAAATGGTTTGTCCGAACACCAGTATAGAGCTCCGGCCGCCCACCTGATGGATGAATGGCTCCAATGTTATTACATTTTCATCTGCCATTGTGTCAACCATTGATGTCTTAAGTTTTTAAAATAATAAATAAAATAATAATTTATTTTTAAATGAATACAAATAATTACTGTATATTATATCTAATTACTTTAAATAAATTAATTTAAATTGATTATCTTATAAAAAATTTAAATCGGCAAAAAAGATCACTTTTTATAGTAGAAAAATAAATTAAAATTTTATATTTTAAATACATAAAAAATTATAATATTAATAAATAATAATTTATCACGTATATTTTATAGAATTCAATTGTACTGGATAAAATGTGCTCAAAATTAATATTAAGATAATAATGTAATGAAATATTGATTAATATGTTGGCTAAAGTTAAAACAAGGTGGAGAAATAAAATTTTATAATATATTAATAAACTTAATACTAAAATATTTTTTTTAGTAGATTTTCTCTTAACAAATCAATAATCATATCGTCATTAAACAATATCAAAATTACCAATAAGTTATGTATTGCGTCAATAGTGGTATCATTTTAGCCTACATTACATTATGAAATATACGTATAAATTATTTAGGATTACAGAGTCGAGTGTTTGAAAACAATTTCAACAAAAAAAAAGATTAAACTTAATTAACCAAATGTTGATAATAAACGGCTCATTCAATGCCATTGGAGTTAATATGTCATAAATGTTGTAATACATTAATGTTTTAATTATTAATTTAATTCAAACAGAGAAATTATTTGTTAAAAATTTTAATGTATTTATTTTATCTGATTATTTATAATTTTAGGTTATTTAAACACTAACGCTAACCTCTAAAAAATAATTTTCTTTCTTAAGTTATTTATTATATTGTATATATAAATATACTAATAAATAATACTGTAGTATATACAGTAAATATGTATAAACACTTATTATATTTTATCCATTTCTATGAATGTATTGTTATTACAATATAATTACAGTAATAATATTCATCTATTTATTAACAATTTAAATTGTAAGACATATCATGTGAACTATAAGAGTACCAATAAAATAATCACCAATTAACTTATATCAAATTATATTAATTGTGTTTATTAGTTAGTTTAGATTGGCTTAATATGTTATTTTAGTGATATTAATAATTATAAAAACTTGATTACAATTATTATGAAAGCATAACTATGACAAATGTGATAAGTTTTCAGTACAACATATGTTATATATATAATTGTATTTTATTATAAAATAATTCATTAATAGATCCCAAATCTATTAAAATATTTACTTTAGTCTAATTTCAAATAAAAATTTAAAAACAAACCTTAAAATATCATAACATTTTAATTGGCAAATGTTATGGGATTTAAATTTGAAATGAAAAACAAATATTAAGTATAATACTGTATAATATATTTGACATTTTGAATAGATTGTCGTCTTTATAAACATCATCATTAAAAACTATGTTTTTATATAAATATTTTTATGTTAATATATACAAGTTTTTATTACATAATAATAAATTTTATGATATTTTAAATATTAACAAAATATAAATTTAGTAATAAAGTTAACAAAATAACAGAGGTCAAAGTTCAACAAATTTATTTATTTATGTATAAAATGAGTGTAAAGAGAAAATTTGATTAAATAATTTTCAACTATTTACTGACTGATATAAAATATATTTAATCAGTTAAATCAACACCGATATGATTAGTCAATTGACAATAATATTATACAGTATTTCATGTGATTATTATAATCGCCACAAAAGTTATTATCGTATTTATGTATATAAATGTTTGCATTTAAAACAAAATGTTTTTGTCATTCATTTGATGACAATTTTTAAATGCAATGCAATGACAGTGTAAATGACATTCAATGGTATTGTATTGTATTGTAGAGCATGTGTTGAGTGTATGGCATTGGGAGGAAAGGGAGTCTCAGTGATGCCATCCCAATGTCATCCCACACACACACAAACAGTTGCACAGTCTGTCTGTCAGTCTATGTAATGGCCGTACAAATGACTGTTGAAGACATGAGTGTATCGTTGATACATATCTTTGATATGTTTGCCGTATAGTTATATTCAGTGATAATCTGTTGTCGTAACCATTGACTGTACTATTAATTGTCGTCAATTGTATCATCAAATGGCACCCAATTTGTGATCAATTGTCTTAATACGTCAACCCATTTGTTGTCTTTTCTCTTTCACATACTTTCTCTTCGTCAACAACTGTCTCGTCAGCTGTTATTTCAGTCATCTTTGAATCGTTATCTCAAGCAATCAATCATCACATTCATTGATATTACAAGTAGTGGTAATTACAAGACAGCTATTAAACGTTAATTTCATATTAATTGTATCGTCAGTTGAGAGCGACGCTTGTGTTGACACAATTGACGCGACCGACGGTTGCGGCTCAACGTATCTAATGGTCAAAGAGAAACCAAACTCTACCCGAACTTATGATGAGGACGGCTTCAGAAGGAGAGCCGCATGTCTTTGTGTTAAAGATAAAGACGAAAATGAGGTAAAGACTGACCACAGTTGACATTCGGAGACAATTGTTTGTAATTTAAATTTTATTTTGATTATAGATATTACTAGTGACCAGTAGTCGAGCACCCGATCGTTGGATTGTTCCGGGTATGACATAATATTGTTTATTTAATTGTCATATTTATTGGAATCTATATAAAAGGCGGAGGCCTTGAACCCGATGAAGACCCGAGCACTGCGGCCATTAGGGAGACCATAGAAGAAGCCGGGGTTAAGGGTATACTTAGACGATGTTTGGGCACATTTGATGTATGTTTTTGTTTTTTAGTTTGTCTTAATCAATACAAAATGATAATCTGTTTATATCTGACAGAATCCCGAACGTAAACACAGGACATCCGTATTCATAATGCAAGTGACCGAAGAACTTGAAGAATGGGAAGACTCTGAGAGTAAGATTTTTGATTAATAAACGATTAATAATTTACAATACATTTTATTGATAATTAGGTCGTAAGAGGGAATGGTTTACAGTTGAAGAGGCATTAAGACTTCTGGAGAGCCACAAACCCATTCAAACAACTTATGTGAAACTTCTTGTCAAAGATACAAATCTGATGCCATCGTAGCGATGGACACACATTAGCTAACATATTAGCTTATGATTTGATTTTGTTTTTAATATACTTTACTTGACTTTAAGGTCTTCTCTTATAAATGTTTTTATTAATACTGTATTATTATTATCAATGATATTATTATTATAAGAGATTCATAGATTTATTACAGATGTTATCTATGAATACATTATATGCAGTATATATTAATATTAATATACAGTATATTCAAAATGTATTATAAGTTATAATATAAGGTTTATCTTTAACCAATTGGTTCAACAATTTAAATCAAATAGTTTTTTTTATTAAACGCCACATTAAATGAACCATTATTTGTGATTCACATCAGTTTTTATCAATTAATTGTACAAACAATTTAGTTGATCATAAAATTTTAAATGTCTACACATTTGTGGCTCAATTACCGTAAATAACATGTATTATAATAAAAGCTCTGATTAATCAAATCAGATCTTAATTTATCTATAAAAAAAATAGTACATAAAATTTTTATTTACAATGTACTAAATTTTTCAGATAACAAGTAATTAATTGTTTTAATCAATTTAATAATTGTCTCAAATTATACAACCCATAAACGATCTGGTCATTTCAATTTATTTAATTTCAATTTACGATAAGTATATAGTTTGTAGTATTAAACTTTATTTCACTTTTATATAGATTAATTATAGGCCATTTTATTGGAAATTATTATATACTAAGTAGTTAACTATAATTGATACTTTAAATATTAATTTAATTTTGAATTTTTTCTTTGATTATCTTATTATTAATAATTACCGGTATTGTAATTTTTATTTACACACACACACACACACATATATATATATATATATGAAAATTGTTTAATTATTATTATTATTGGTTTGCAAGGTTTCCAAACAAAAACAAATATAATAAATTAATTATTTGTAAGGATGTTATCTATAATGAATTGTAAATAATGTGTAACACAGATACAAAAACATAACTTTTTTATTGTGATTTTGATGGAGAGCTTATATGTCATATAATGTTTTTAAATAATATTTATTTGGAAGTTATTATTGAGATTATAGTTTAAATATAAATATATATAAATAATTATAGTATTAAATGAACTATTAATATCATATTATAAATTTTATTATAATACAAAATATTGTTAACATGAAAATTAAAATTGTTATATTAACTTTAATATTAATTTATTAATATTGTAATACAAAATTATGTTATATTTGAAAGATTTTTTGCATAAGATTTATAATATGATTCTAAGTATTATTTAATTAAATTTTACAAATTATTAAAATATCATTTATAAAATAGTTGTTTGAATAGTTTTTAAGAGATAATGTGTACTTGTTTTGTATGTATGTTTTAGATTTAATAATATAATAATAATAATAACAAGAATACTACTAATAATTATAATAATAACAATATAACAATAATTATTATAATAATAGCTAAATTAATATTTAATAATTTTGATTATGACGTGTTAATTAATTTTTAAAAAACAAAAATTTCAGATAATAAATGATATAACAGATTTTTGTTTCATTTATATTTTATTTCTATAACTTTTATCAAAAGTTTATATCTAAATTAAATAATGATTATTATTATTAATCCATTAAAAATTTAGGACAACTTAATTAGTATCTTTAATAATATAACTTAACTTATTACTAATTAAAATATTAATATTTAACATTTACAGTGATTTAAAAGTAACAATTTTATGATTATATTTCATATTAAAAATAACATTTGATATTATTTAGTGAATTTATATACAATATTACATTACATTATATTCAAAAATGAGTCAAAACTAGTGGTTTAATCAAAAGTATGTTCAAAGAGTGGCTCTCTATATACAGTATATACAGTACTTATGTTTAACCGATTCTCAAAGTTTAGGTTAGGGTTAGAGCAGAGCATACATACACTTAATGAATGAATGATTAATTCAGTTGTGTTTAGTGTCGCCCCAAATGCTACTCCACTGCAAAGCTTATCCTAAATGAGACACTCTCTGTATCGACAGATACGGCACTAAAGAGAGTGAGTGTTAGAAACAGTGAGTGAAACAGCAAAATGTCAGCAAAAAAGACAGATTCTATCGATTGTTATATTGTTTGTATGGAAACACATACTTATCTCTTACTGTTTATGCTCTCAATCAGTAATACTGCTTATGTGTCGTACAATATAAGCATCGATTGCTATAAGCATTCAAATAATTATAAATAGTGTTCACTCTGTTTAATCAGTCTTTGGTTTCTTTATGTAAACAGTTATTTATTTTTTTGTAGCCAATGTATAGTCACAAACAATTGATACAATAATTTACTAAATAATTAAATTTATTAAAAAAAGAAATAATGTTTAAAATGTAAAAATTAAGAAAATTTGTGTGTTGTTTAAGAAAACGGGATATTCATATTAACTACGATGACAATGATTTGGCAATTATTATGCATTTATATATTTGTGTCACTTTTGACAGGTTTGCAAACAATATTTGTTATATATTTCATGTATCAAACATATCAAAATGATCAAAATTGTAATCATTAGGATGTATATTAATAATAATTAACGTATCTTTATAACTACAGATAAATGTTGGACGCATTTGGTTATTGATTTGGAGTCAGAGCCGGAATCTAAGCTTTTCTTACAAGACATTGAAAGATCACCGGAAACAGAGACCAGTTCACAACAAACTGATATCAAGTAATTAAAACATTAATTATATTTAATTAGTTGTATTATTATTAATATTTAAGTGATTTTGTGTGCTAATACAATACAGATCAATATATTATTTGTATAATTATATAAATGCAGTATCACTAAATTATTTTAATTTTATAAAACATAATTATTATGAAAAAATAAATTTACTTTAAATATGGATTATTTTATTTGTGATTAAATATTTAATTTGATATTCAATATTTAATACAATATAAGTATGTTTTATCAAAATTAATGCTATATCTCTAATATTAATATTTAACGAACACAAATATACTGCTATGAAATTATCCTTTAATTTACCCCAAAAAATATTAATAGTATTACTATATCTATAAATATTGTATAGCAGTTATTAGATTATACAGTATTTAAGTTACCAAATGTCATAATTAAATAAAAATTATTAAAAATATCAAAATTTAATCTTTAAACTAATTACATAATAATAATAAATATTTACTTAGTTTTTAACATCATACACTTATAAAATCTTTAAAAATACACATTAATAAGTTTGTAATTAAATTAAATTATTACATAAATTAATATATTAAAGTCTAATTTAATATAAAATAAAATATTATATATGAATTATAGATATATTATATTTAAATTTTTTAAAATATTTAAATATTAAAGATATATTTAAGTAATAATTATGAAAATTATTTAAATCCATATAATTGATGGATAAATACTGTAATATATAATATATTTTATTATAAAATTTATGATAAATGTACTCAAATGACAGGTTCTTTGCATTGGTTCAGCCGTCGAGTTCAGTATCAGTCAGAGCTAATTACGGTCCGCTAACTGTCAGACAGACTATATATCCCTCCTATTGGTCAGACATACCTACAAATCCCAGAAAGAATGAGTCATCCATTAGTAATGGCATTCAGGAAATGGTATCACCCGTTAAAGCTCCGGCACTTAATAGAGAGCTATCGGCACACTTAGTCACTCGTGAGGTTCGTCGCAGTAATCCTGTACTACGGGTGCTCTTCTATGCCTCACATACTACAGACTTTACACAAAGAACTAGAATTGATTACATCGACAAAAAGATTTGTGCCGCTGTTGTAGTCCAATACCATAAGGAACGTCTAACCGGCACATGTAGTCCAAGTAAGACTAGAGAAGGTGCCTGTTTGGCCGAGATTACTCTACCATCATCATATTGGCCACCAATTGATATCAATGGTTCACTACAGAAGCAACAAAAGGCAACCATAGCTAAAGTATATTATGCTATAACACATAGCGATCATTGCACTGAAGGCTCAGTCATTACAACATCTGATGCCAATTCTTTAGCTTTGAATTTCTTATCAGACGTCTCTTTAGTTCCATTCCGTGGCAGTTATGAAGAAATTACTAACGATAATGTGGTGACAATTCTCATACCACAAGAACCAGTTTATCCCAATTCAAAGATTTACATTCCCGTAAAATTTACTTACAATCCCGAGTATCCGATTGCGGCGTTCAGTCTTAGGGTTCGCGTCAAGAGTGGCGTCAGAATACTTGGCGCACAACTGTCTCATTCAAACAGATTATGGCAGTTGAGTACTGAAGTCAGTCCCAAACAAAATATGGCTACCGTTACGGCATTTTTACGAGACTTTGACGTACAACAAGATAGCGATTCTGTTACGGATGAGTTGTTGGAAACGTCTTCACAAGATGTGTATTCATGGCTTTTAGAAATAGATGAAGAAGTGGACATCAATGAAGGCGGAAGAACTGTTTGGCAACTTTTATATGTTTCAGAGAATTCAGTTGCTGTCAAACAAGACTTTGAGAAAGAGTCGGCCAAACTATCCTCAAGACTTGATATTCAAAAAGATAATGTGTTGGATGTATTGGCGATAACTAAATCTCATCAGTTGCTAAATACAGCTCTGTTGACTGGAAGACAGGTCTCACATGCAATGCGTATATATATGGTTAGTGCCGTCGGACGTATTAGTGATATAACTCTTCAGTCTTCATGTCAATCGGCTGATGAGTCAATACTCAAAGTGTCGCCTTCGTGTACATCAGTCTATTTAGATGGAAGTGAGGTCAGAGGTGACCAAAATGCTACAATTCTTATGAAATATGGCGGCACTTCATATCAGAAAAATTTTGTCGTTTGGAGACCAGAACTGCCAATTGATATTAGAGTTGAAGATCAAAAGTTAAGTCAAATAAAGAGTTGGAAAACACAATTGAAACGCAAACATAATTTATTTACCAGTGATGAGGAACTAAGTGGTGATGAATCCATTGATAACCATTTAAAGTCAAACTCAAATAAAAATGATTACATTGACACTAAACATAACTACACGCCCTGTCGACCCCGGTTTCAACAAACTAGAGTGGAAATGTATACTAAATTTTTTAGTACTGACCATAACTCTGGTAGAGAGGCCTCACTATTGAGTCGAAAAGTTTCTGTTAAAGTAACTCATCTATTGATGCCTTATATTAGAGTATCTGATCCCAAAGTATTGAACTTAAGAGGCAATATTATTGAAGGTTTAAGTGTTGGTTTATCTGAAGTACAAGTTGTATCTCCGATTACGGGCCAATTAATGGGCTCTAAAGAGATCCGAGTGGCGTCTGATAAGGAGACAATCACTTCCATTGATGTCAAAGTAGTTACCGGTTTGGAACTTGAAGTCAAGCCATATATACCGTATAGTACTGTATGGATGGCAAAGACAACTCTATTGGATAAGTTGAACACTCAATATCAAGAAGGACTTCTTGACGTTAAACTGCATTTCTCTGACTCGACATCAGTAGATCTTTCAGATATATCTGCTTCTGATTATAACCTTTCAATTGATACATTTGATGGAACAGTTGCAGTGGCTCCCAATACAGGTCTCTATCCTAGAGTAATAGCAATTGGTGCGGGCAAAGGTCAATTATTATACTTATCTCTTGAAGTATCCAATATATGTCATCGCAAAAAAACCCAACCGTTAGCTCTTAAGTATATTAACGTAAACGTCGACTTTATGATCCCTTCTCTACAAAATGATGCCTTCAATTATCGTAAAAATAATGGAGTTATGAATACTAGTCAAACACCCATAACTGACATTCAATATTTGAGTAGTAAAGAAAAGGTAGTTCCCAATCAATACGTGACAATTGGCAAACCCATCACAAGAAAATCCAATATAAATATGGCTAACATTGAGATTGGAATCTATAGTTTCTTTGCTATTTTTGGTATCTCTTTACTAATTATTGCTGTTTTATACCGAGTATTGGGTCGCGCAAAGGCACCTCCAGAAGCAGTTACAACAACACGTATCGCACCGATAACTTCGAGTAATAGACCAATAGTGGCCAACGCTAATGAATGGGTTTGGTTAGGAAGGGCTACTCTCGAGAGGAATTCGTTGGGAACTAAAAAGCCAACCATTTCTCAAAAAGATCTCAACGGAAATATCTCTGATAATTGTGAAGAAAAAAACAAACTTTTGTCAGAACCAGTTTGTAAGTCAATAAAAATCAATATTAAATATTATAATCTATTATATTATAATAATTTCAATTTAATTCAATAATACATTAATGTTTTTGAATTTAGCCAACCGTTTAAGTGAATTGTCATTTGCCGGTTCCGATATCAGTATAAGGATCACAACAAATCCTAATCTTGTCGATGATTGCGAACCAATGGACGAAACCGAAGACAGCGAACAGAATCAAACTCAACCACTTATCTCAAGACATATGGCATCCAAACAAAGCTATATGACAACAGTACATCCACCAGTTCCACTTCAACCACCAGTGCCGGCACGCAAAACAAGACACCTTCCCAGCAAATATACTACATATTCAAAACCACCACCGATACCACCGCACCGTAACATTCAAAACCTTAATGAACTCAACGGCTCAAAGCCTCCTCCAGTACCGCCTCATCGAGCTATCGGAGTCACTAAACGATGGAGTAATCCTCAGCCATTGGCAGCAAACCTTAGGGTTGATTTGCCCGCTAATAGAGTTAAGAAATGCAACCGAAATGATAATAATGATAATTTAGATTACAATCAATTACTGGAATATTTTGATAGTCTTAAAGAGTCAAATGCTTAGACTTCTTGTGTCTAGTATTTTACAATACATTTCAGTGCCATTTGTTATATAATTAGCTATTTGTTTGATATAAAGTCCTATTTACAGGTATTTAAACTTTTACTCTTTTATTATTATTATTATATTAACTACAATAATATATTTATCTTTATTTTTACATAAACTAACAATTCATTTAATTTATTACACATTATTTCATGCTATTTGTGTTACCATTATTATAAATATATTTCATAATAAATCTGGTCCTTCCTATAGTGTTATATAATAATAAAAGAGGTTAAACTATTATAAATCAGTTGATAAAATATTTATAAAAAAATTGTAATATATTAAGGAATGGATCATGAATTGAGTGCAAAAGCATAAGTAATTTTCAATTAGAAGATTTCTTATATTATTATTTTTATATTATTTTTTAAAACTAATTTATTGTTTTTTTTATTTAAATATACATTTATATATATAATCAAATTTGTTGTTTTTGCTGTTATATTTATGTATGTGTTTGATCTCATTTCAAGTTTATTGTACAGATTTATGAAAAAACAAATATGTGTTTATTTGTGTAAATATGAAATTTGGTTAAATACAGTATATATCCACACAATAAGCTGCAATTAAAGCACAGTGAGTTAATGTTATATATTTAATATTATAGGTCCAATTGTTTGACCAAGCACTATTTTATATTATATATTAGTAATATTCGTGATTTTTTTAGCAATTAAATTATTTTGGTTATATGAATTTTAATTTACAATTTTATCAATAGTAAAAATGATATATTTTATCAAAATAAATTTTGTAAATTTGTATTTAATAAAAAACGACTTAATTAATATACAGCTAGTCAACCAAAAATAATTTTATTTTACGATATCACATACAAACTAAATCATTAAATCGCTTACTTAATTGATTGAACTATAATTATTAGACAAATTAGCTATTGGTAAATAAATTTCTATTAAAAACACACACATTTAAAACAATGCAATTTAAAAAAATGTATAACTTATAACAAATATTTAATTGACAAATGCTATATATAACGAATAAATAATATTCGTAAACAAATAATTAATAATTAAATCAAATAAAAAATAATTATAACTAAAATTTAATGAATTTAATGAAGTCATCTATAAAAATAACTTATTGCCATAAAAATATAAATAACATTTTATTATCAGTTTTAATTTAAACATGTTTGCTTAATAAATATTTGCATAATTAATAGATAAAGAGCGATAAACTAATAAATAAAATTAATAACTGTAACACAAATAACTATCACAAAAGTATTTTTTAGATTTTAATTTTAAAAATAAGCTAAAAAACAATAACAAAGTTTTATTGCTAAATATCCTGATATGTTGTAATCCATTATAGACATCAAACTAAAAGATAATATCATATAATATGTTTTTCACATAACATATACACACAAATGTATTGTAAAATTATTATTGTCTTAACAGAAAAAAGTAGAACACATTTTGTATGTCATATACTTATTGATGATATAATACAGTATTATTAAATGCAAACAAATAATATATTATAAATAAATATATATATATATATATATATATACTTAATAATATATACAAATTATACTCATGTGTATATTATTCACATATTTTTGTTTTTGATTTCACCACATATTCACTAATAATTATTATTATAGTATATATAATAACGACTAAAATGATAATAATATTAATTATAACATAATAGTAGAAATTGATTGCATTGACATTTGCGATCGGCTATACACGTAAAATACCTCCAATTTTATTAAACAAAAATATGATATTATTATATGATAATTTATTGTGCTTGATATATTTATTATTAATAATAATATTGTAAATTTGTTACAGTCAAATTTATATATATTGTATTCAAATTAATTTAAAAAAAAATCTTGTTAATGTATAACATTACAGATTATAAGTAGTGTAACATATCTTAAAAATAATAAAATTATTGATTATTAATATATTTATTTTATGCGTATTTTATTTAAATAAAAAATAAAGTTGATTTTTTTTTATTACGACAATTAAAATTTATTATAACTTAAAGTTGTCAATGTCATAACTTGTTCATTAAATAGTATACTATTTGTATCATTAAATTTAAGTATTTCAGTTGTTATTTGATACTATTATATTTATTATTTGCCGTTTTATTTTAACAAATCAAATGAATACATAATTTGTTTAGTTATAATGAAAAGCACTTTTGGTATAACAAAATAGTAGACAATAAAAGTTGGCGCGTGTTATATGTTATTAGATGTTTATAAATAGGATGTTTTCATTATGTGATATGAAATGTTTTTCATAAGGAGATGAGAGAGAGAGAGAGAGAGAGAGAGAGAGAGTTTGGATGAGATAGATATGGAAAGTGTGGGCAAAAATACACTTAAAGGCCTACACATGAAAGCCAAAGAAGTAAACCCTCTATTAATAGACAAAAGCTCTTTACATCTCAAGACTTTTAGATGCGCTCTTCAGAGATGTTTTTATCTACACTTTTGTGGCACTGGGAGAGAGTGTTAGGCCTGTTAGTCGATAACCCAATTCATTTGAATCTCTGTGAAAAATAAACTTAATTTAAGACCTTTTTATCTCTGTCTCTTTGGTGTCGAGTCATGAATGAGATTTATTGTCATTGTCTCAAGTGATACAATGTTTAGACACACGGAATAATAATCAATTAGATTGTTAGTGGACTATGAAAAACATTGCTACCAGTGCTCAAACATTTAGTACTTATCCGGGAAGGAGAGCCTCAACAAGTAATGACAAATGTATTCAATTGAGACAATATAAGCACCAAAGTTGGGCTTCAAGTAAATTCAATGCATTCCGCAAGAGTTGGATCGGACTTTTTGATAAGGTATTCAATTGACAATTATATACTCACTTTTAAATCATTTATTTAATCATAAAATTGATCACAAAATTAACAGTAAATTTATTATAAATTATATAAAAACTGTTTTGACATCAAAGTGTTAAAAAGTCTGACATTTTCACATATTTAACACAAACTAAGCATTCATTTGAAATAAACATTAGATTTTGTTTTAATTTGATGTTTCTTATCATTGAAATAGACATTTGCCGTATCAATGAGTGTATCGTTTACTATATCATTACTATTACTATAATTATTGCTGAGCATATCATATACTTTATATAAATACAGTGTTTGTTATTCAATGTGTTTTTAAACAACTTTTTTTTTGCTCTCACGAGTCAGTGATAGATATAGTAATCGTAGTTAAAGTAGTAATTTAAGTAAATAAAACATTTCAGTTAAATGAGATTTATATATATTGAGTACATTAAACTCAAGTCATTTTTTGTTGTCATTTATATATATATATAACTTCTACAAAATAGATTTTTTTAGATAAAACATATTTTGTCAATTTTAAGGTCATTATTTTCAATAAAAGTATATATAAAATGTTACAATAATTCTCAATTATTGAGAAAACAATAAATAGCATTGTTCTTAAATTTATACAATGAATAAAATATAATGTACTATTGTTTAATAATATAAAAGTGAATATTAAAGATATATATATATATATATATATATATATATATAAATTTAAAAAGTGTAAAAAATCTTATTTTATACATTTTAACTATCATTCTTGATATACATTTCGCAAAATATACTATTTTGAATGTCTCTAAAAATATCGCTTTTGAAATTATTTTGGTTTTTTTGCAAAAAAAATATATAATCAGATTATAAAAATAATAATTTGAATTAATTAAAAAATATTCAGTATAAATTAAACTGAAACAAAATATCTTTTGTTTTATTATAAATGCTAATAAAATAATTTTTATAAAAATTGAAAAAACAAATTATTATTCATTTAATTAGTGAATGATTTGAAACTCATTAGAGATTTTTATCTAATAAGAAAATTTTTAATCTAATTATACATTATATGCCCGGTTGGACATAACATACCTAATGTATAATGATGTGCAAACTATTTTGTTATGGAAAATAAAATAAATGATTCAAATGATAAAATAAAATAATTTTAAAAGACAATAAAAAGCTGACGATTGCACAGCAAATAAAGACAATCATTTTTAAAACAATTTTTTATTATTAATGAAATGACATTTATTTGCATATTTGTGTCAAATGAAAGTTTTGATGACATGTGAAATAGCAATCATATAATGATAATTATTATACTATTATAATGTCAATCATCTTCACTCAACAAACCTATTATAATATGTATATCCTATGCTTACAGTCGAGGGTTAACAACCAGACAGAGTGGCAATACATAGACGGCGACACCTTTTACGGTATGGCGAGTGCAGCGATGGGAGCACTGGGAGGCCATCACAGGCTCGACAGTGAACCGAACTTCACTAATGCATCGATCGGTGGCTCACCGCTTGTGTTGAGGTCAGCACTCGGTGTCATTTGCTTAGGCATTACATACACTCATAACAACAACAATACAATACTCTATACACAACACAACAACACACCTACCAATTGATTGGGTTTTTTACACCAATTTATTAACTATTTATTAATAGTCTTTCGATATTATTATTATTATATATATATATATATTATATATGTTTGCAATTTTTTGATGGTATTTACAATATTATTAAAACCAATTGATATCACAAGTGATTTGTATGTCATGTCATGTCCTCAACACTAGTCAGTGACGTAAGTCTTTGCCATTAATTTTCATTTTGATTGAAAATATTTTCAATACTTTAATAATAATTATATTATTGTTATATTTATTATAAAAATAGATTTTATGTTTTATTATTATTATTATTTAAAAATTATATTATTAATAATAATAAAATTTATTTCTATTAATATTGTCATTTAAATAGGTATTGTATTGTATATACTGTTTATATATGATATAAATATTTGTTATATTTTTGAACACATTAGCGATAATACCACTAATTATCGACTCGTGTTTTACCAACCAATTAGTTATCGTTTTAAAAACAAACCAAAAAATGTTATTACTTTTACAATTTGTGATTACGATAACTGTTATAATGGTTGGCATTCAGTGTTTAACCAGTTTTATATTATGAGTCAACACTTTGTTTTAAACAAAATTATATATATTTTTAAAAACGTTTACATAAAAAAAATAACAATACGTTTACAGTGTTATTGACTTTGAATGTCAATTGAGATATTTATTTATATTATATATCATATATTTATTACATTATTATATTTATGAATTTTGTTTTTTAATTGGGAAGTGATGATTTTATTTTGAGACAAATGTAAATCAATTTGATTTGATGCCAAAATATTACTAAAAGTTTGTCATATAATTTTATAAATAAGATAACACAAAATTATTTCATTGCTAAATATATTATTATTATTTTTTTGCTAAAGAAGACTTCTAATGATTATTGACTTCAAATATATACTGAATTTAACATTAAGTTATAAATATAAATTTTATATAACTATATACTAGATATAAAGTATATTTTATTGACATTTATTAAAAACTATTTTTGTTAGTAATTATAGTATTTAATGAGATTTTTCAAACATTAAAAAGTTAGAAAAATATATCTATGAAATTTTTAAGTGTTAACAAATGGGAGCACAATAAATATATTTTGATTTTTGATCATTTTTAATAATAATAATAATAATAATAATAACATTATTATTATTATTATTATTATTATTATTATTATTATTACTCTATAGAATCTGATTGAATAATATTTTATGTATTTTTGGTTATATAATATTGTTTGTTTTTTTGTGGGTATTTTATTTGTTGAATTCAAGTTGATTTTATTGACATTTTTTTCTAAAAAATAGTGATATAATAAAATTAGATTTATTTTATAGTTTAATAAAAATATTAAGGTTTAGATTTATTTGCGATTATCTATGAATGGCAAACCATTTAGTCGTTTGAGTCATTGATCCAATAAATTGTATGAACTGTTTGCCCAAACAGTAGTCACAAACAAAGACCACTAAATAGATTATAAATGATTTCAATTAATTTATGATTATTTCACTAAATTTATATAATATATAGTATGTTATACGTTATATATAAATTATTTTTTTATCAATTTTAAATTGCTATTTCTGGTATATTTTACGACATAAGTTTCAAATATCATATATTTATCTCTTGTTATGAATCGACAATCTTTTAATGGTCTAAAAATTTTAAACAACAAATTTATTAAGTCTTACTCGCAATAATATTTAATTATTTTCGTTTATAAATTGCTATTTTTGTTGTTGTTGGTCACAATATAATTTCTCAAAATTAGATTTATTTTCTATATATTTTGTTAATTATATAAATATACAAAAATAACTTATATGTTTTTAAACATATTAAATAAAAACATTAGCATTTTAATTATTGCCACAAAAAATGAGTTTATTAGCATAGCATTTCATAATTATTATTAAATTTGTTTTTTATTTATTTATTATTTATTTATACATTTGATTTTTATGTAAGCACTGTAATTATTAAGTAGAAAATTATTTTTAATACAATTTATATTTTTCGGGTAGTTAATTAATTTGGCGATAAAATCGACTTTAAATTTGGAGTATTTTTTGTTAATTTTTATTTTGAAATACAACCAAATATCATGAAATGAGAGATAAAAAACTGCGACAAAAATCCAATTTCAATGACTGTTTCGGGAGTGAAAACTATTTAAATTTAGTAATAATTTTGTTATTAGTTTTTTAAGTCACAAATATCTCAAAGTCCTTAAAGTCATCAAATGAAAGACACGACATAAGAGTTAGTAATAGTTTATCTGTATTACAGAGTTTTGTATATTTTGGCATTTATTGTGTTGTTTTTTTTGGTTCATTTTTAGTGACGGAAAACGCTTTTTATAACTTTTTAAATCTCTTTATTATTTATTCAATATTTCGGTGATGTCTACAAATAAAATATTAATTTATAATTTAGTTATATAAATAATTAGTAATAATAATAATAAATAATTATATACCACATGATAATATAAATTATATATACTGTATATATGCAATATAAATAAAATTACAGATAAATGTGTTATTAGTCAGTAAGTGTTGATGTGCTGCTCCACTACTGTTTGATTTGAAGGCCACAACAAACTCAATGAAATATACAAATAATATTAAGTATTTTGAGATGACTTTGAGGTACAACTCTTGCAATCTCACAGTTATTATAAAGTATTATATATATTGAAAAATAAGTTTTATATCATTTTTTTCTAAAAGTATATTATATTTGTAGTGTTGTTTGGGATGCCGTCAGTTGAGAGATGATGTGGGAGTTTTCAGTATAACTGGTTTGCAAAACATTGACAACCAGTGTTTGTTTGGCACTCCTGTAGTTTTCAAACAGTATGCCAGTACTCACTCTCCACTAATCATTTTATATCCAAAAACACTACTTGTATTCATAAAAGTTTTGTATTTTATATATTCAAAAGTTTTTTCTATTAATGTTTTTACCCAAAAAATAGTGGGCTTTATAAATATGTAAGTAAATGATTAGTTGAGAGTATAAAACATTGTTTTTATGATTAAATCGCCTCCAGATATGATATTTCAAATGCTTGAATATAGAAGTTATGAATGATTTCATAACCATTATTCAGTCATCAAAAACAACAAAATATAATCATTTTTGGTGTGAAATTTTGTTACAAACGTCAAAACAATGTACGATAATTGTGTGCTCTCTATGACTATATTTATTGATGATATTTCATTAATATACGTGAATCGATACAATAGTTTGATTACTTAATCCTAATTTGTTTAAATGACAACAAAGTGGTCAAAACAATGCCAAAGTTATCATTGCTTAACATAAACTGTTTCACGTGTTCGCATCACTTGCAGCGCTCCTTCAGCTCAATGTATGCCCTGTCCATGGATAAGGGTATCTACTCGAGTGAGGAAAAAGCGACCACCAGTTTCTGGTATCTTAAGATACCTAACGGAAAGTCCAATGCAGTGAATCCATTGAAGATTGACTCCAATTATTTGTTTGAAATGTTAAGGTTAGCTTCAAAAAAAATCGCATCATTAGATTAATTGTGTGTTACATAAATAACTGTTTATTTTGTCACATAATTTATAATTGTTGTTAATTAATAATTTATAAAAATGGTGTTATAAATAGTAGCGGTTTGTTATTAATGTTAAGACAGTATGAAAATAATGTATTGAATGTGCGAAACATATCCCAAGAATTGGGACATTTGTCGACTATTCAGAGCAAAGAACTGTTTGAATAAGTTTTTTGTTGAAACACTTAATACTTGATAACTAAAAGAGATCTAATCTCAAGAATGACTTGTTCTTCAAAAAAAGTTATCCTTAAAAAACAAGACTTTCTTTGGGTCAATGAAAGGGAGTAAATGTTATGTTAGTTAAAAGTTATCCGATTCCTCGCGTAATCCGATTTATAGTCTTTTTTTGTTTTGTTTATTGTTTTTATGAAATTATTTTTTATTTTTGTATTTGATATTATGATAAAACAAGTCATTAAATATCTATTTTTTGTTTTTTTTATCAGTCAGTTATGTATATGATATGTTTTGTCGGACAATATACTATTATTATACTGTATATTATATATATATAAATGACAAAAGAATTTTGTAATGTGATTAATATATAGTTTAAATTAGATAATAATTAAATTTCCTGACTATCACGTCATAGCCGACAAAGATATAGATTAAATTTTACACAAATTTTAACATTTGAAAGCTTATCTGTGTTTAACTAAAAATGACATATTTTGTTAGTATATATTGTTAGTACGGTAGCTTACAGTATACTTTATTATATATTTATTGTATATTTATAATACTTAGATTTATTAAATAAGATCCGAGACTAGCATTTAAAGTACTATAAAATTTAATTAAAAATTATAGTAAATTTAATTCATGACATAATTAAGTTATTGCTCTTAAAGTTGTTTTATAGCTTTGCAATCTTATTTGAAGACTACATACACTCTTTAAATAAAAACCTCAAAACAGTGGTTTTATGGATAAATAACACAGTTATCCCTCTGGCCTTCATTTGTATAAAATATATTAATTTAAGTAAAAAATAATAGTTTATTATAAATATTTTTAGTAATATTAGTTATTAAGACTAGTATTAATATTTGTAATTCATATTTGAGAGCTTAATAATAATGTTAATTTAATTCATGCATTGTGTGCTCACTTATAAGTTAAATATATAATTTTAAGTAATTTAATTTATGTTTTGCTTTCATATTAATTGTTTTTACTGGTCATTGGCTCTGAAAAAGAGTTGGCATTTTAGTTATAATATTTTTAACTTATAATACATAATTTTATTTTGATTAATATTATGTTTATTTATTTATGTAATATATACACTATATATATTGTTTTGTTTTAAATATGCAGAATATATATATAAGTTAAGTTTAGTTTGTGAATTTGCTAACGAATGGCATTTTTAATTTACATATGACATGTATAATAGATAAATATATTCTGTAAACAATATATACTTTACTATAATTATTATAATATATACTATTATGCAGAATATATACGTTTATACTACTATATTATAGTATAATATATTTTGAATTGTATAAAATTAGTATTTTTAAAAAGTTGTAAGTATTGAATCCAACATTTAATTTTAGTTCCGAAATATTTTGCGAGTTATTTTTCATTGTACCACAAATAATATAAACTTGAATGTAATTCAATTTTGATGTGTTATATTTAAAATGATGACAAAACGATATTTTAGTACATTTTAAATGCACTTTTAAACACATGAAATGAATTGAATATAAAAGTAATAAAAATTGGTTGAATCACTTGTAGACTTCCTCTATAGATAACAGTTTCATTGTTATTATTATTACTACTATATTATTAAATACTGTTATTATGACATCTCTAAAAATTTAATAATAAACTAATTCTAAGTCTTATTATTGATGCAATTGTTAAGTAATAAATTACTTTTTTATTATTATTATTATTTTATTAATTTTAATCAATGCATATGTTCTTATAAAAATTTGAGTTGAGTTCACATTTAATTTATTGGTTTGTTTTAATTAAAAAACAACGAATTTTATATTTATGTGATATTTATAATAATACTATACAATAAAAACTACTTTTATTAATTATTGGGAATATCGTCAATAAAAAAAATTCAATACAAACCTTTATATCTTTGAATAACTGTAAACTAATATTTCATTACCGGTCTATACATTTGTATGATTTCATACAACAGTATTTTTAAATGCATAGCTTTAATAAATAATTTATATCCAAAACAAATCAAAACAATTAAATACATCATAAACTGTTATGAACTGAAAACATCTCTTTCCCATAAAAACATTGACGAGAATTACTACCAGTAATAAAAATGTTTCAAAATTATTATAAACATAAATATCTGTTTTTATTTTTATTTAATTGAGAAAAAATATTTTTATTTATATTTTCTTGAATCATTAAGTGTCTGTAAAATAAAATGAGAGGGGAATGTGCTTTTAAAATGATTATAAGATATATATTATATAATACTGTTTTATAAAATAATGAAAAGTTCAGAATATTTACAGTATATATATATATATATATATATTGTCCAAAAACAGTTGCAAATTTAATATGACTTTATCATAAAACAAACTAAAAATAAAATAATATAAAATTTTGTTAAATAATATCGCAAAAATCAAAATTTGTTTATTCACATTTGACATATTTATAGATAAATACTATTTACATTTGTTTACTGAATAGTTAATATAATGGTAGTATAATTGTTGAATTCAATAATATTATAATTTATGACTTATTATTTGATATTTGAATAATAATAATGTGTTTGATTTAGATATATTCAATTACTGTTGTTATATGGCTTGTATTTAAGTCATACAGTATATCAATGTTAAAAATGTTAACAAGTTTTTATCAATTTGACAGTACTTTTTAAATATTACATGTTTTTAAAATTATATATTTTCAGAAAATATAAATATAAAGTAGATTTATTTAAATCAAGTTTTTGTGCGCAAGTATATAAATTTTTAATTATTTTATATGATTAAAAGATTTTTTATGAATTAATTTTTGTTACGTCAACTTTGACATTAAAAACATAAATTAATTTGATTTTTTTGTTGAAATATCATTAACTTTATTTTTTTTATCTTAAGTCTAATATCAAGCATAAATAAAATATTATTTTTATAAATTGTGTTTATTTTTAGTAATTTAATCCATGATAATTGTAAAACATTATGTGAGATAATTATTTTGAAATAAAGATATTACTTTAATCACCAAAAAGTATAATAAATTTCAATCATAAGTATCTTATTAAACAAAACCAAATTAATATTGTATTTATGAGTGAAACATAATTTTTCACTTAACTAACAGCACATAGTTTTCTCATGACTTTCTCCTCAATAGTTGTTAACTCTTGAGTTTATTCCCGAACCAAATATATATATACTATATATACTAAACCGTAATAATAATAATAATAAGGAAACAGTCATTTAGCGCCAAATGCGTGGGAATACCAGTCCTTTTAAATGCATTGATATATAGTTTTTGATGGCAATGTCTGACAAGTCTATATAAACTAAACGTTTAATTTATTATAACTTTCTTTATTTTATTATTATTTAATTTGATTTTTTATTTTTATAATTTGTTTATTTATTGTTATTATATGTTGTTGTTGTGATTTTGACCATAGGATGCAAAATGGGAACTTCATTACAGACACGGATAATATTAATAATAATGACACCGATAGGAATGCTGGCCAATCACGTAACGGCAAACACTGTTGGTTTGAATGCAACCAACAAATGGACACAATGGACAAGATAGACAAAAACACGTTTAAAGTGTACCTAACAAATGGTAATTACAATGTAGTCAAAACGGGAGATGTTACCGATGTCCGCGGCATCGCCTCACTCATCACTAGTCGACTGTCCTCAGACTCCAGTAAACGCTTTTATGAAAGCATTTACGCCATTCGTTTGGCCAGAATTGGTGCACCCGATGACCATATTTGGCTTCATCCCGACTCATCAATGAATGAGGCACTCGAACAGCACAACAATTTACTGGATAGTGAATGGAGGTCTGACACATACCTGTGCTTTTATACTATTTTATATTATATCCATAGAATATTATTCTATGTAATTATACTAAATTAATACATTTACTATTAGCTAAATTTTTTTATTCTTAATACATTTACTCTAATATTATTTTATATAATATATTTATACTCTTATGTTAAATACAGTATTTATTGTCTATAGTTAAAGTACCGGTAATATTTAAAGTAAAACAAAATAAAATATAAATTATAGTCAATCAAGTTTAGTTTAGTATGTATTTTTAATTTTAGTATTTATTGTTAACTGAGGGATCGGCAATAAAATAAAACTTGAAGAAAATTAAATTGAATGGATTTGTAAAATATGATTAACAAAGTGCATATCATTTATTTAATATAATATTTAATAGCTTTGTTAAAAAAATAAATATTTTTTTATGCAATTAACAAAAACTATAACATATTTAAACATTTATTTCTTTTAATTATAGGTATGAACTGAGGATACGTTATTTCCCGTCGACTATAAATGATATTTTGGTCAAAGATAGGGTTACTTTTCATTATTTCTATGATCAGGTTTGACACCAATTTATAATTAATTTTATTATTAGTCATTTATTATTCATATTATTTTTATTAAATTTATGCATAAATAAAATATAATAATTGTGATAATATGTTTTATCTGACGATTGTTTGTTTGGTTTTATTTCTATCAAACAATTTTCAGGTCAAAAATGATTACTTACGGTTGGATATACCGATAGAGCTTGACTTAGCCATTCAGTTATGTTGTCTGGAAATCCGGCATTTTTTCAAAGACATCACACATTTTGCTTTAGACAAGAAATCTAATTTTGAAACTCTTGAGAAAGACATAGGACTTCACAAATTCCTGCCATCAAACATATTAACATCAGTTAAGGTATGCTATCGTAATACTAGTCAATAAATAATAAATTAATGATTTGATATTTCAATATTTTTTTATTAAACTTTTTGTTGTTGTTGTTGTCGTATAATTTTGTTAAAATTAAAACATTATGTGCATAGCAGCGATGAAAATCTTATATTATTAATTTTTTTTTAATTTTTGTAAATAATGTCATATAATGACAGCACAAAGCATTGAGAAAAGCCATTCAATCGCAGTTCAAGAAAGTCTCGACAATGAATGAAACTGAATGTATGCTTAAGTTCTTTGAATTGGTTGAGCCGTTAATTCACTACAAACAGGAATATTTTAAGTGTGCGTTAGGGGTATGTCTTCGTTATTATTAAATTATTTTATTTTTTTATTCATTTATTTTCCATACATTTATTAATATAATATATTTATTGTTTACATTTAAAACATTTACCGGTAATTATGAACAGACGGGTTGGAGTATTCCCGTTCATTTAGTCATTGGCTGTGATCTGGGTATTGGTTATGTCACTGACAAGACAGGACCGGTATGTTTTTTAAAAAATTATTTAATATTAATAGACCTATTTATTTATAATCTAATTGTCATTTCCACCTTCAATTGCCATTTATAGCCCACACAAATGGCACAATTTCAAAGCGTTCAAAGTATATGTATAATCACAACAAATAGCAATGAAAGCAGTGGTACTCTGCAGACAACAAGTAGTCAATCAATTGTTAGCAATAAATGTGTTCTTCAGCTTAAGATTGCCGGTGCCTCTGAAGTATTGGCCATTACCTGCTCGTCAAACATTGTCGCCGAAAATATTGCGAACCTTATTGACGGTTATTGTCGTTTAATCAATAATACTAACGATTCATTTTGGTTACGAAAAGGTATTTTATTATATTATTATTCTCTTATTTATTTTAAAATTAATTTATATGTTGTATTAACTAACATCTGAATTAAAAATTATTGTATTTTATATATTTTATTATATATTGTATATACAGTACAGTATATATTCAAATACAAAGCTAAACAAATATTAAATATAGTTTCTTGTTTATTGTGATTATCAATTATATATGTTATTAATTAAGCTCTAATCGATTGCTTCAATCAAATTTGTATTTTGCATTTGTTTTTCTTTGATTACAAGCCTTTCCCACTAAATGGAAGTGCAATTGCAATGATTGCCCAAAAGGTGATGTCTTTTAAACTAACTTTTATAAGCAGTCTATAAGTAATATTTTATTTGTTTGTTTTTTAATATTTAACAATATTTTGTTTCTTTTATATTAATATATAGTTTGTTAAATAAAGATAAATTTATTGATTTTTTATTGATTCACAAATAGATATAATGATAGAAAAAACAAAAAATTTAAAGAAAAAGATAACGACTGAAAATGGGGACAAAGATTACGCTGAAATAGTAGACGACGGCGACTACTCGACACCCGCCGGGAAAGACTACGAATTGTGTCGATTGAGATTAAATTTGGACGCAATTATAGGTGAGGGACAGTTCGGTGATGTGTTTAAAGGTTCGTATCGAACCAAAGACGACCAAATAATAGCTGTGGCCATCAAAACGTGTAAAATTGAAAGCGAGGGGCAAATGGGTGACAAGTTTTTAGAGGAGGCGTATATAATGCAACAGTTCTCACACCCGCATATTATACGACTTATTGGTGTTTGTTCCGATTCGCCCATTTGGATAGTCATGGAATTGGCCAAACACGGAGAGATGCGGGCATTCCTCCAAAATAATAAGCATCGACTGAATTTGGCTACTCTTATATTATATGCCTATCAACTGAGTACAGCTTTGTCTTACTTGGAAAGTAAAAAGTTTGTGCACCGGGATATCGCCGCTCGCAATGTTCTCGTCTCATCCCATAGTTGTGTCAAATTAGCCGACTTTGGTCTTTCCCGATGGGTTGAAGACCAGTGCTATTATAAAGCCAGTAAAGGCAAACTACCTGTACGTCTAGTGTTAGACATTGTTAGTATTATTTTTATATTAAATGTAAGTTTGATTACAATTAGATTAAGTGGATGGCACCGGAATCGATCAATTTTAGGCGTTTCACTACAGCTTCTGATGTTTGGATGTTTGCCGTCTGTTTGTGGGAGATATTAATGATGGGAACAAAACCATTTCAAGGCGTCAAAAATAATGATGTTATCGGAAAAATTGAAAACGGAGAGCGACTGCCTTTACCGATGAACTGTCCGCCGAGAATATATAGTTTAATGTCTCAGTGCTGGTCATATGAGCCCTCGAAAAGGCCATATTTTAAAGACATTAAACAATTACTATATGAAGTATATTTAGAAGAGAAAACTCAATTAGAAAGACGTGATATTAGACGTGATTTGCAATCAATATCCTGGAGTTCTTCGGGTTCTGAAGAACCGCCGCCAAAACCTTCACGATTTGGTGCAGAGATCCACTCTGAACCCAATCCTTGTGTTGACGCATATATAGTCGCTAAAGATCCAGAGGTATGTTATTTTCATTTATGTTTTTTAAAATGTTGATTACTATTATGTAATTCAATTTTTGTTACATTAAATGAAACATTTTAAAAGTTATATTATATAACTTATACAGTATAATAGATTTTTTAATATAAAAGATTTTATAATAGATAATTCGTATAAACATTTTTTATGAAATTTTAGGTTGTTTTAGATTTTTGATAATTATTAGATAACATTTTCAATTAGAAATTTATAATATTTAAAATTAATTGCTATATCGTACATATAAACTAAAATGTGCCAAATTATTTGTCATTTTTAAATTGAATTTTCAAATATTTTATGCTTTTATCAATTTAAATGAAATTAATAATACTGTATTTAATATCGTTGTTTTATTTTTTATACACATTTAATAAGTATATGCATTTATATTAATATGTATGAATTATTAATTATTTAAAACTTTTCCTTTTTTTTATCATTTTATAATTTATTAAATATATTCCAAATATTTTAGTTTTTCAAGTTTCATTTCAAAAATTATATTATAAATTAATAATTTTAAATTCAAAAAACAAAATAATAAATTATTACATTTTTATTATAGTAACATTATTTCAATTTAGAATTTATTTTGAACTAAAAAAATTATGATAAATTAATTTATACATGTGACTTATTTTTATTTTTAACCCTGATACAAAAGTTAAATTAATATTTCAATAATTATATTAATATAATTTTTAATATTTATTATTAAATTATTTATAAAAATTGTGAATGTTTTAAATATGTCATAATAACTAATAAGATATACTACCATTTTAATAAAGATAAAAATGTTTTATGTTTTAACAATTAAAATGCTTTATAATTAGGTATTGGCTCAATTGATGTCAGAAAACGCTCATTTATTACCCCCTGCCTGGGCTTATAATGCACCGGCTTCTCCAAGCAATACATTTGCGGTAAATATTATTTTTTATGATAATCATATATATATATATATACAGTATATATATATTATAAATACATTAATTTATTATTTGATTTGAAATGTCTTGTAATACAGTTGTATGAAAACTATTACAATTAAACAGTTATATTGAATATTTTGTCTTTAAAGTTATAAAAACATTAAAAAATACTATCTATTTATCTTTCATATGACAAATGATTTATATCTAATGGTTAATCTTTTTTATTTTTAATATTTAGTTTTTCAATAATATAATATTTTAAGCGTATTGTTTTAAAATATTTGTTAAAATATCAATTTTAAATTTAAGTCATATATAAGTATCAGAAGTTATGCTTGAAGTTGAATTAAAGCAATATTTTTACGTTTATATAAATTTATTTTTATTTTATGCGGAAATTTACCCAAATATTAATACTATATAATACTGAAAATATGTGAGATTTTGATATTACATTTTGATAATACATTTTGATAAAAGAATGACATAAATTAATCTAATATAATAATTATTGGAAAAATATATTAAAATCATTTGATACCTTATAAAATTTATTTTAAAAATAAATATAAAAATATTTTTTATTATACTGTATTTTTATTTTTGTTTTGTTGTGTATTTTTATATGTGACTATAAAAAATATTTTTATGTTAAAATTTAGTTGAATTTAGATTTGAATTGAATTACTTTTTATTTTGTTTTAAGTTTCATTTTTTTAATTTATAAAAACTTATTTTATTAGAAGAAATACTATTTTTGACATAAATTTTAAGTATATTGTACACAATTTTGTTGAAACATTGAAATTAATGAAATTATTGCTATTGAATCTTATATACTAATAATTATAACATAATATATGATTTTATTTGAAAGGTGTGTGGGTTTATATATTGAGGCTCTGTGTTGGCTCTAATTAATATAAACTCAATTTTAACGCTAATACTAATATAAAATTATTAATAATGATTAAGCGATTTAACATTTATTTATTATCGAATATTTATTAAATCTTTCAAATAATCAATAGTTGAATAAATTACTTTCATTTAACATTGATTGCCATTAATCATTTATGTAAAAATATATTATATTAATTATGATATATAATTGATTAAATAAAAACTAAGCTATTTGTGAAAAATATTAAATTTATAAATAAATAGTCTTTCGTATAAATAGTGTAATGAATGGGTAGTTGTGTTGCATAATATGCCGTTCATTATTTCAGGTGCAGAGCATTGCCACCAAAACTGTGAAAAAAGAGAGTCTCTGTTCCGCATTCAATACTACCACTTCTTCTTCCAGTTCTACTACAACCTCTGCCACCGAAGTAAAGGTGATAATAAAGGATTTACAAATCAAACCCATTGTTTTGCATGCATTGATTCAAATTTTGTTTTTTAAGTTTCATTTTATATTATTATGTAATATTAGTTGTTGTCCATTATATATATATATATATTGGTATTATGTTTTTCTTAATTTATTTTTTTGGTATAATTTTTATTTTTGGGGTTTAATTTCTTTTATTTTCCATTATTTTTTTCTATGATTCTATTATCTGAAATTTGAAATAACATTTTATATTATTTTATAAATACTTTTTGATCAGGAATTGGCCGAAAAGGCTGAGTTAGACAAACATTTGCTTGAAGTACGACTCAAACAGCAGAGACAAGAGTCAGAGGAAGACTCAAAATGGTTGGCAAATGAAGAAAAGCAATTACTGGCTTCAGTCAAACGGTTATCTGTTTGTGACTCCGAGCAGAATAGCCACGAACCCAGAGGATCGCCCATTAATAATGCAGTCATTGACTATAGTAAGTCATATTCGTCTCACTTGACATCAATTACTCGTTGGTCTATAATTATATCAACTAATGTTGTTTTTTATTTAACAAATTACTTAACAAATCAATCTTAATGTATGTTTTTTTTGTCATCTGAACAGGTGTGCCATTAAGCCATTCCAAACCCATAGCCAATGGGACCAACAATTCAAGTACTTTAAGTACATTAAGTAGTATATCGATGGCATCGACCAACACATCCTCCAATACACCATTAGATACTCAGCCGACCGCTGATATCGACCGCACCAATGATGAGGTCTATAACTACACTATGAATGTTGTCAATGCGGTTAGATTTTTATTACAAGGGGTACAGGAGGCCCGGGTCGACCAGTATATCGACTTAGTAAAGGTTAGATAAATACATTTTTACTCTATTTAAATGATTATTTAAAATCTTAATTTCGATTTTGATAGGCTGTTGGTATTGAATTGAGAGGATTGTTAGCCAGTGTTGACGTATTGTTCTCAATGTTGCCGGTTTGGGCCCATCGAGAAATTGAAATGACACATAAAGTATTGAGCAAAGATATGGCCGGTTTAGTGCAGGCCATGAAATTAGCCCAACAGTATAGCCGAACTACTGTCGAGAGTATGTATAGATTTAATTTTAATACTGTAATAAATATATTTATTTTATATGAAAATTTAGGTGAATATAGAAAAGCAATGCTAGAATCGGCTCATATTCTTGTGATTAATTCAAAGAACTTGTTGGACACTATAGATCAGGTTAGGCTTCGGATGGTCAACAAACACTTCATAGACTCCATGTCCGGTATTAACGCATTGTCTTTAAACGGCACGTCACCCGACAGAGGCATTGGCGGTATCGATGAAGAGTCACCCGATATGTTAGAAAAGTCGTTGAGTGATAATAGCAGTTATTAAATGACTTATTTTATCCAAAAAACATGATTTTATAATCACATCATTTGCAAAATCATTATTCATATGTAACGATCAAATAAATTATAAAACACATTAACTTATGTTTTTCTAATAACTGTTGAATTAAATTGAATTAATTAATACTTTATTATAATTTAAGCCTCCATTGTATTAATACACTTTTGTAAAATTAACATTATAATTATTATTGTATTATTGTATTAAATTACTAACTTAAGTCATTTTATAATGTAAAATATAATGTTAATTTAATGAATAACTGTGACTATTATTTGAATTGAAATTTTATTTGACTTATTAAAAAGTGATAGAAACTGAAAACATTATATGAATTAATAATAAAAAAATAAGATTTATTTATAAAGAAAATAAAATTTATTTTAATAAATACCGATATATTAATAGATATAAAACAATTGTTTAGCCGACGGCATAATTAAACAACAAGAGCGCACAGTTATCCCTTGAGTGAACACACAAAACACTATATTTATTCAACAAACGGGAGGAAAGGGAGGACCAGTTTGTTGGCGGAGAGACATTGCTTCACATGTGTTTGACAGCCAATGCATTCAAAATTATAAGCATTGTATTCAATGAACACACACTCACACACACACACTCTCTCTCTCTTTTTCTCTCTCTATGTGTTATCAAACATCAGCTGACATTCAAACTGTTAGATAGTATGCCATTCAATACAATACAAAACAATACAATTGAATACAAATGCATAACAAATGTATGTTTTTTACCCATATTTTCATTTAATTCTATCGATTCTATCAAAAGTATATTTCATTTGAATTAGTTTTCAATTATTTAATAATAATATTATAATAATTGTTAAATAAAAGTGTTGTTCAAAACAATGACTGTTAAGTCAAATATCAATCAATACAATGAAGACATACAATGATTATCAAAGCTATTGATCGATGACTTCTTGTATTTTGAAAGACAACAGCACTCGACATACAGTATTAAGACAACTATCACTTCAATTGATGCCATCAATTGATTAACCGTTATGTGATATATTTTGACCAAAATATTGATGACCACATTATCACCGACCACTGCAACTGAAACCAAATATTATTGACATATCATATGCCGAAGATATCAGTGACCACTTTATTATAATAAACAATGAGAAGAGTCATCTTAAGACGTCTTAAATATCTGTTATTTGTTCCCATTTTACTCATTGCATTGATTTCATTCATTAAAATCAATTCACATCTCAATAATGACATTTCGGTAATTATTTTTTTATTACTAATTAATGTTTTTTTAATATTTATGTCTCAATTGATTGCATTAAAACTGTTTTTTTTTTGCAAAATATATATTATTAAGACAATTAAATGCAATTAATTGTATTGTAATGTATTTATTATAAAATTGAAATGATTTGTAATAAATGGTTAGCAAATTGTTTGATATAATATATTATATTAATTTTTGATGTCAAATGATATACACGATTATAAATGTTTGAAAAATATGTACAAAACTAATGATAGCATTAAATTGTGTTCATATTTATGACAATTAATTACAAATTGATGTGAATTTTTGATGTTATCTTCACATATATTACAAAATAATTTAAATGTTTTTAAGACTTTAGTCTCAAATGAGTGCTTAAGCGATGCCTATGTCATTGAATTTGCATTTTATGTCTGAATTATGTTTTTTAAGTCCAAATACCTGTTCCCAGAGCCACATCCCAGTCCACACAATCCAGTTATTTAAGTAGTAAATGGAAAAACTTATTGTTACTATTGTTTGACAAATACTAATACATAAATAAATCATTTTTTCCGATTGCTGTGAAATTACACACTATTTATTTTTTCTGCAAATAAGTATTTATATTAAAAATACATTAAATTTAAATACAATGACATTTATTGAGAGTATATTTAAAAATATATTTTTTATTTGCTTTTTGATGAAATAATACAACGACTTGACATTGATATTGATATTTAGAATTAAAAAGAAAATGTTAACAAATTTTTTATTGATATTTAGCACCCATTCAGTGAAAATATATTCTAAAAATAAAAAACAATTTAACATTTTTGAGACATATTTTCAGATGAGTTGGAATTTTTGCAACAAATGTTTGTATTGAAAATAATATATAATATTTTTACTGATAATAATAGCTATGAAACTATGCAAACAATTAGGAGTCATTAGAAACGTCTGTCGCTATTACTAATGCTAATAATAATAAAATTAATTTTTATTTATTTATTTTTTTCGCTTCACTAACATTTGCAAGATCTCTCTCTCTCTCTCTCTCTTTCTTTCTCTCTCTTTCTCTCTCTCTCTTCTCTCTCTCTCTTTCTCTCTCTCTCTCTTTCTTTCTCTCTCTCTCTCTCTCTCTCTCTCTCTCTCTCTCTCTCTCTCACACACACATACAAGTTTGATGAACCCTTTATAACAGTAACAGACCTTCAAAAAAAACTTCAAGGCATGTATTTTTAGTTATAATTTGCACGAATAACTAACTGTATAGCACACGAATATAAGCATAAAAACTAGTTTAACTTTTTAAAAATACCTCAACATTACACTAACTAAACACTATACAGTAATTAACATTTTAAAAAAAACTTTTTAAAATTCTGTGCATTTATTTTTGTAAAATGCATAGGAAGTCAATCACATTTTGTTAACAGCTTTAATAAAACAAACTAATATTGTTTTTTTCATTGCATTGTATTCATTATTTTTGATGACTATCAGGAAAATAAAGCACTTCGACTTAAGAATGATTATGTGGTACCACAGCCACAGACTTCCAGAATTAGTAGCTCATTGACCGAAAATATTGACGATAATAAGGTATATTGGAAGTACTTCAATGAGAAAGACTATATATCAAAGGCAACTGTGGCTCCAATGGGTGACGCATACGTCAAGAATAAGTTTAATCAGATGGCCAGCGATCGACTGACCAGCAATCGGGACATTCCTGACACTAGACATTATGGCTGCTATTCCAAGAAATATGACGAACAGTATTTACATCCGACAAGTGTTATCATAACGTTCCACAATGAGGCCCGATCTACACTCTTGAGGACTATTGTGTCGGTACTTAATAGAAGTCCCGAACATTTGATTCGAGAAATTATTTTAGTCGATGACTTCAGTAATGATCCGTCGGATGGCGAAGAGTTGACAAAAATACAAAAAGTTAAAGTCATTAGAAATAACCGAAGAGAAGGATTAGTCAGATCCAGAATCAAAGGCGCCGATGCGGCTATCGGTCCAATACTTACATTTTTGGACAGTCATTGTGAATGTAATACAAATTGGTTGGAACCACTACTTGAACGCGTTGGTCAGGTATAATGTAATTTTTAATGTTTTAAACTAAAAATTTACTTAACAACTGTCCAATTCATTACTAGAATCCATTTGCTGTCGTCTCTCCCGTTATCGATGTTATAAATATGGATACCTTTCGATATATTGCCGCTTCTTCTGAATTAAGGGGAGGTTTTGATTGGAATTTGGTTTTCAAATGGGAATATCTTCCTCAAAGTGTTAGGAACGCCCGTAACAGTGACCCAATTACACCAATTAAGTTAGAATTTGCATATTATAACTATAATAATTAACAAACATTTTGTTTTTATTTTTTTATAATTATTATTATAATTACAGAACTCCAATGATCGCCGGCGGACTGTTTTCAGTTAATAAAACAACATTTGAAACTTTAGGCAAATATGACACACAAATGGATATATGGGTGAGTACTGTGTGGCCAAATGGTTATCCAATAGTATTAAATTGAATATTTATAATGAAAAGGGAGGAGAAAACTTAGAAATATCATTTCGTGTTTGGCTTTGTGGCGGACAACTTGAGATAATTCCGTGTAGTCGTGTCGGACATGTCTTTAGGAAACAGTAATTAAATGATTTAACATTTAATTTAATTATTTAAAACTAATTTATAGAATTTGTTTTCCAGACATCCGTATGTGTTTCCAGGAGGCAGTGGAACAGTATTTGCTAGAAATACAAGGTTTGGTTATACAAAAGTTTTTATTTACAGATAATAATATATTAAATAAATTAATAGAAGAGCAGCTGAAGTCTGGATGGATGACTACAAAAAGTTTTATTACGATTCATATCCGGCCGCAAAGTTTATCGATTTTGGAGATATATCAGATAGAGTGGCCATTAAAGATAAACTTCATTGTAAACCATTTAAATGGTTTTTGGATAATGTTTATCCAGAACTGGTAGTTCCGCAAAAAACTGAGCCAAAATCAACTATTAGTCAATCAGATATGTGTTTGGATACATTGGGCCGAACAATGGGTTATTCAATTGGTCTTTACAAATGTCACGGTCAGGGAAACAATCAGGAGTGGCAGTTCACTAGTGATGGCTTTATTAAGCACAACAATCTTTGTTTAGCAATTACCGGCACCAAACCTAATCGCCCGGTGCTTCTTATTGATTGTAACGATGTTGATAGTCAGGTACACCTAATTGTGTTATTTATGTTAAATGATTGGACTAAACGATTATAAAAAATTATTTTTTCAGAAATGGAGGAAAGTATTTGATAAACATATTCAACATAAGACAAGTAAGTTATGTCTTGACTCCCAGCGCTCATCACAACTGGGAATAACTGCTGACAACTGCGATAACAATTCTAAGAGTCAGTTCTGGGAGATTAAAGCAATTTAAACAAACAGATTGTCAGACAAACTATCTATTCATCGAATTTATCTTTTTAATAGTCATTTTGGATTAGTATTTATATACAGTATTAATATATTAAAATTATTTATTAGATATTACTATACTATTATTGTTACAAAGCTATAAAATCCCAAAAAAATATCATTTTTAATGTTATAACAAAGTTTACCAAATCACACTGTTTATAAAAAGTTTATATAATTTATTTTATTTTATCTTTTTTTAAATATTAAGTTATTTTTAATAAGTTTAGTATTTTATGAGTTATATAAGAATTATTTAAAAACATTAGAGTGCCTTAAAATAAGCACAAAACATAAGCCAAATGTTGTAAACGTTTTTTATATATATATAAAATTTAATAGTAAATTAACAAAATTTTGTCAATTTTTGAATATAAAATTTAGATGAGTTGAATGTGAGACAAAATGGTATAGTATAAGTAGGACAGGTATGTAATTAACGACAGGTGCATTTACCTTTTTCCTTAAACCATTTACATCCGAGTGTCTCTCTCATAGACATTCGTGACTTTTCCTGTGGATCTAATAGTCTTTCAATTAATTCCTTCAAATGTTTGCTAAAGTCTTTAATAAATCGATTGATGAGATGGTTTGGGTCCTCCTGTTCCTTAATCATACCTTTCGGTCCATATTTTTTGCCAAAATGAAAGGGAAACTTATTGTTAAGCATAGCAAACAAGACGACACCCATTGCCCAACAGTCAGCCATAAATGGGTCGTATTTTTGTTTCATAACTATCTGTGGGCTATAGTATGGTTCAGTGCCACAGAAAGTTTCGGATAGAGTGACTTCATTGGTGTTCTGATCCCACGACACTTTGGCGAACCCGAAGTCAGTAAGTTTGGCCACATTCTGGTCGTTAAGCAATATGTTGTCTATCTTGATATCCCTGTGCGCTAAATGAACTTCTGTGTGAAGATAATTGAGACCATCTGCCACTTGACTAAACCAAATGTATGCCTTTTCCTCAGTGAGTACACCGTTTTTCTTAAGGTAATGAGCGATATCTCCATTTCCTGCAAACTCCATAAATATAAATATCCTTCGATTAGATCTAAATATGTCATAGACTTGTATTATGTTCTGGTGTTGGACTTCAATCATAGCCGCCATTTCTCTCGGAAGGAACTTCTCCTTAAACTTTTCCGAACACTTCTCCAGATTCATCACTTTGACGGCAACCAACTCATTGTCTTTAGTGCTCATGGCTTTGTACACCTGTCCAAAGGCACCGGCACTCAGACTCTGCAATATTTTATATCCTTTACGTTTGAGAACAGCAGTTGTCTTGTCGTCAAACGTCTCGACTTCGGGTTTTGCCATAAATATTGTCTATTTAGTAGTTATTACTTCAAATGTCAGACAATAACTTATATTTCAATTGCTTTTAATAATCTATTGTAATGTATATATAACTGATTTTATTTAAATTTATGGTTAATTGTTTGAATGTACTAATGGTTTAAATTTTAAAAAATAAATCAAATTTATAGCTCGTGTTAAATAAATTGTTGTCATTTCAGACACATTTTATCATATAATAATTGTTAACACAATTGCTATGATTTAAAAAAACAAATTAAAAGATTTAAAAAGTTTTTATTATAACTTTATAATTTATATAATTTTATTATAATTACTTTAAAACATTAACTTACAAGTAATCTATGCTTTCTATCAGTATTATCATTAAATTTAAACATTTAATCGGGTGCTCAAAATGACTAAATTATCAGTGATGGGAGGGCCCCACTCAGCCCACGCCAATGCAGTCTAGTCCCGGCTTATCATATTTACAGTACTGTATGTATGTGCACACAGTGCGCGTGTGCACAACTTGATTACAACACGTGCTTCAAATGATATACAATTTGATTAAAAATAATTAAATATAAATTTAATAAATAAGTTGTCATTTGATTGATTGGATCAAACAAATTGATGTCAACTAATAATATGCAAAATAACGACTAAAAGAGTTAACATTTAGTTAATGATCTCTTCAATCAAATTATTGAAAACAATCCGATTATTTGGTCATTCATTGAGGTCAGTGTCGCGTACGGCCCGACACCCGAACCGAATGGCAAATATTAAACCCCAAAATTGTGACTTCTTTCTTGTACTGGATTTTGAGGCCACTTGTAATGAACCAAAACAAATGGATCCGATGGAGATCATCGAGTTTCCCGTCATTAAAGTCAATGCCCAAAACTTTACCGCCGAACAAACTTTTCACCGATACGTCCGACCAAAAGTTCATACAAATTTGACACCGTTTTGCACAAAATTGACGGGAATTATGGACCATATGGTGGCCAATGAGCCCACATTTGATGTCGTATTCGCCGACTTTCAGCAATGGCTACATTCAGTTGGTCTCATATGCGATGATCTTCACAGACCTCTCAAGAAGTTTACATTTGTTACTTGTGGTGAATGGGATCTTCAGCTAATGCTTCCCTCTCAGTGCCAACTCTTGAATCTCAGAATACCATTGTATTTGAGGACTTGGGTTAACATAAAGAAGTCTTACGCTAATCATTATAAACAATGGCCTAAAAGTTTAAGTTATATGTTGGATGAGCTTAAGATTAAACCATTAGGAAGACTACATTCAGGTATAGATGATTGTCAAAACATTGTTGCAATTATGAAGACTATGGCCAATGAGGGAGTTGTCTTCAAGAATACTAGTTCCGAGTGGTGATACTTAACTGCATTGTTATTTCAAACTTATTTCAATCATATTTAAATTAATCAAATATTGTATAATATTTATAAATATTAAAAATTTAGTTATAATTTTTTAATTCAATTTATTGTTTTACTATTTTGAATACATTTTATTAATTTGTTGTCTAAAACAATCCCTCAATAATTTCAGTTTCGGGATCGATATCAATGTCATAAAATGCAGGTCTAGTCGGCAAACCCGGCATTGTTGTGATCTAATTAAATCAAACAAATTTATATCATTATTTAATGTGTGAATATTTATATGTAATTAATTTATTAAGTTTAATAAAATTGCTAATATATACTAATTAAATCATTTTATTTTGTAAATAACAATAAAATTATGATTTATTTATATAAAATACAGACCTCAGCTGCCAATGGATACAGAAATCCGGCACCAATTGAAGCTCTGATGTCATTGACTGGGAATGTGAAGTCAGTGGGAACTCCTAAATGAATTGATATTAGTTATACATTTAGATTTAAAATTCAATTACCTTTTAGATTGGGATCGTGACTGAAGGATAGGTGTGTTTTGGCCACACAAATGGGTAGTTTTCCGTAACCAAGCGATTCATATAACTAATAGCATATTATATATGTGTAAGTATTGGTTAACTACTGTATTATTAATTAAAATAATAAAACTAATTAACATTACATCAATCTTTTGTTTGGCTAATGGACTGAACTCGACATCTTTAGCGCCATATATTTTCAGAGCTATGCTTTCAATCTTTTTCTGCATTTATCAAAACCCAAAAAAATATTTTAATTTATTATAACTTAATATTAAACATAAATTACTTGAATTGTATCATTCAAGTCATATGTAAACTTGACATTTGCTGAATTTGATTGTTGACATGCATTGATGACAGCCTGAGCCAAATTGACAGCTCCATCTCCTCCCTGAGCCCAATGATCAGCAATACTAGCATCAAAAGCTCCACTTTCTTTGGCCACTTTTTTAACGAGTTCCAACTCCTTGTCCGTATCGGTTGAAAATTTATTGACGGCCACAACTACAGGAAAGCCGTATTGCTTTGTAATTACATTGATGTGTGCCTTTAAATTGGATAAACCCTTATCCAGAAGCTCTAAGTTCTATAGAAATTAATTCATTAAATTACCGGTAATTATAATCAAATTGACTACAAAATTATAGGTATATATTTCTAACTTCTTCAATATATTCTTTGGGAAGTGTGGCACCGGGAGTCACATTGGGTCCGCCCCCGTGCATCTTAAGGGCTCTAATTGTGGCTACGAGTACAGCACAATCAGGGAATAAACCTAATTTATGAAAAGTTTTAATAGTATATTAAGTTGTATTTGTTTTAAACAAAATGTAATTATCAATCAAACCTGAAGTTCGAGACTTAATGTTTACAAATTTTTCAAAACCAATATCTGCACCGAAACCACATTCAGTCACTTTTGACAAATAGACACAATTATAGTAAGTATAATGTGATTGAAGAATAAATTTTAATTAAAAAAAGTTATGCTTACAAACAAATCCATCTTTTCCAACCAAATTCAATGCAATTTTGTCGGCTATTATCGATGAATTTCCGTGAGCTATGTTAGCAAATGGACCTATAGTTTAAACAAATTTATTTGATATCAAAAATTGTTTATTTTTATTATCATTTATTATAATCCAAACCGCAGTGAACTAAAACAGGAGTTCCTTCAAGTGATTGCATTAGAGTTGGTTTCAAAGCATCTAAACATTTATTTCATTTATTAATACTTTAAATAGTATTTTATAAATGTTTTATTTAGTATACCTTTAAGAAGTACCGCTACAGCACCGGTAACTCCTAAGTCATCACAAGTAATGGGAACAGGTTTTTCATCTTTAGAAAAGGCGACAACTATCCTACCGATGCGTTCCCGAGCATCGGCTAAGTTATCGCAAAGGGCCAGAATAGCCATGAGTTCACTCGCAACTGATATATCAAATTGAGTCTAATTTTATAGTAATTATTAGTTATTTAATTTATATATTTGATTGAAAATATACTTTTCTGGATAATCCCTTTTCAGTGGGTGCCTCCCCGACAGTTATTTTACGCAAATATCTATCGTTGACATCCAAAACTCTGTTCCAAGTGATAGAATCGGGATCTATATTAAGCCGAGCAAACTGTCCCTTTTGTTGTGGTGTCAACTCGTTTGGTGACAAATTGGTGGAAATTCCTAATTTTTCGAGTCGTCTCAATTGAATCGGCGAAAACACCCGCTTTTTGCCCGGCTTTACAGTATTAGATCATTGTTAGCAAATTACAAGAAAAACTGATAACAAATATTGATACTAACCCTTGTCGGCACAATTCGCGAGAACAGACCGATGTCTGATTGCGTCGATTCGTGGAATATTCGGGCATCGATTGCGGCCGACACCAGATTATTGGCCGCAGTTATTGCGTGGATATCACCTTTTAATCATATATATCAACCTTTAAATTATTAATACCATCCAAAACATCAATAATAAATAATACCCGTTAAATGCAAGTTAAATTCGTCCATTGGATTCACCTGTGAATATCCACCTCCAGCAGCACCTCCTAAAAGCTCAACATTATAACAAAATAAATAAACTGTTTTCAAGATTTATACCCTTAATTCCGAAAGTTGGTCCCTGACTGGGCTGTCTAATACAAGTAATAGCATTTCTATTGAAATTAGCTCCCAGTGCTTGCGATAATCCTAAAACAGTTGTACTTTTTCCTAATGAGTTTAAATAAAGTTAAACAATTGATTTAATAATATCAATATTACTATACCTTCTCCTAATGGTGTGGGTGTTATACCGGTAACGACAATATATTTGCCACGAACCGAGTCTTTGGTAAAATTGGGAACAGATTTTGTAATCTTTGCCTTATATTTACCATAAGAATCGAATTCAGATTCAGATAAACCAATTTCTTTGGCCAATTGGGTAATAGGTTTGCAGGGATGAGATCGAGCTATGGCTATATCACTAATAAAAACATTGAACAGATTGTAAATTTAAGTATAAAATAGTTTTTGTTGTTTAGTTTGAATTGTTGTCTCACTATATAAAGTTTAAATTTATGTAATTTATATATATTTTCTTTAGTTTAGATTATGTGTGGGATAATAATAACAATACTATCAAAACAATTAAATATGTTTAGTAATACAACAATTTCAATCTAAACTAAACAACATTTATAAATTTTACAATTTGTTATTTTACAAACCTGGGAACAGGTGTTTGTTTGTTTAATTTCAAATATTCAATATTCCATGAAGAGGTTTCTTGAGATGAAAGTGCCTAAAATTAATTTTATATTCCTATTGTTTTATATAATTGTTTATATATTATAATAAAATAAAAATTTACTTAATAAAAAATTTTGCTTAAAATTCTAAATATTACATAATACTGTTATCAATTTACAAACAAATAACATTATATAAATATTACTTACAGTATTATAATAAATAAGTAAACTATTTTTTATAATCAACATATTATCAGTATTTATAAAGTATTTTATAGATAATTTTAAAAATATTATATTAGTAATATAGTGCACTAAAAAGTTTACAAAAGTAAAAACAGTATATTTCCATTTTGATTATTATATCATATAGTATTATATATTATAATATTAATATTAACTAAAATTATATTTTTTCAAAAATTTATTTCAATAATAAATTCAATTATTTAAAAAGGCTTATTCCTATAATAATTAGTAAATAAATATATAATATTAATAACAATATTTTAAATTATCACATAATCAATTGTTTAAATTTAATAATATATTTACATAAATGGATTGTTTAATAATATTAGATATAAACATAATGTCACATAATTTTAAATCAATTTTGTATTGAAATACCTTAAATGATATATTAAATTTACTAAACATTTTACATATTTTAATTACAGAATACATTGCTAATTATTAATCATTTAAAAATAACTAAGATTTATTTAAAATACGATTAATAAAATAATTTAATTTATAGTACAAATCTGATGAAATATTTAGTTTGTTTATATCATAATACGATAATTTAAATTGAATTCATTGATTGAAATCATCTATTATGGGATTTGTTCAAAATTGTCATATTTTATATCAAAAATTATTTGACCAAACTCATATAAGTCAATTTAATTGGCCCAAATCATAATGTTAATTATAATTATTACTAAATATTAAATTAATAATGATAATTACAATTAGCAACCGTCTATTTGTGTAATATTAAATAACATTATAAAATTTAGTAAATTTGAAACTATTTATTTATTGAAGTTAAATGTTTTACATTTTACATAATTATTTTAGACAAAGACAAGTGACACAAACAACAAATTAATAAAACATACATTTTTTTTGTTAATTACAATAATTTCTTTATTGGTTTATAAATTGACAATAATTTTCATTTGATTTAATATCAATTACTTACAGCTTTTGCCGCATCAACCGTATTGCTTATGAGCATCGCTACTGTCATCGGACCGACACCTCCAGGAACTATATGTCAATTAATAGATTTATTTCATTTTATTTTAGTGTTTAATTCAAATTGTAAAAACCTGGAGTTATAGCGCCAGCAACTTGTTTGCACTCATCATAGTCGACATCACCGACAAGTCGTGAACCAGACTTTTTGGTTGCATCGGGAATGGATGTAATGCCACAATCAATAACAACAGCGCCTTTAAGGTGTTACACGTTTTTAATAATCACATTTAAACAACTATTTATGTATACCTGGTTTAATCCAATCCTTTTTAACCATCAATGGCTGTCCAATTGCAACAACAAGAATATCTGCCTTTTGAACGATTTCTTTAGTGTTCTTAGTCTTTGAGTGACAGATAGTGACCGTCGCGTTATTCCAGATAAGCAACTGAGCCATTGGTGACCCAACAATCTTACTGCGACCGATCACTACCGCATTAGCCCCTACGGTAAATGTAACAGTTTTAACAAAATCAATTAATCCTTATTTAAACTCTAACTGACCAGCAATTTGTACGCCAGCCCTCTTGATTAGTTCGAGACAACCGTATGGAGTACAGGGAGGATAACTGTTGCGTCCATCTACCTGTCCGTGCAATAGTTTACCCGCATTTTCGTCCGACAAACTAATCATTTATATCATATCATTTACAAAGTGTTCATTAAAAAATAATAATAATGGTTACCCGTCCACATCCTTATGCGGCGCAACTAAATTGGTTATCTTATCGGCATTTATGGTGTGTTCCGAATCAAATGGCAACTGAACTATAATGCCATGAATTGATTTATCTTTATTTAGTTCTTCTAACTTATGGATCAACTAAAGTAATGACAAAATAATTAATAAAACTTTTCAGAACACATGACTCAAATGACCTCATTTTCAGTGGTCGACTTCGACAGTTGGATGTGTTTGGCCTCAACGCCAACAGATTGGGCGTAGTTTTTCTTCATACGAATATAGACATTGGAGTCCTCTCTATTGCCGACCTGAAGGATGGCCAACACGGGTGCGATAGACAGTCGCTGCACTTCATCGCGAAGTTTGTTGCGAATCTGTTCCGACACTTCTTTACCACTGATCACTTGAGCCATATTGCGGACAATACCGGTGCTGTTGATTGTGATATGCAATCAAATAATAAAATTTAATAAAAGTTATCAAAAAATTTAACTCAAGTCTAAAAAATAAATAGTTACTAAAGTTTTAAAAAACTAGTTTCTTTGATAAATAGAGTTTATTTTATAAATTAAAATTATTTTTCACAAATATTGATTATTTTCAGACAAATCTGTTAAAACAACTATTTATGATTAGATTTGTAAAATACAGTAAATTTCAATATAATTATATATTAATCGAAAAACTATATATCGCAACAAATATTAGCAAATAACAAGTCATATAATTTTAAATTGAATGATATGAACGATTGAAAAATATCGACTAATATAACAGTAATTTTGCAAATCATTTGGAAAGTTGTTTATAAAATATAAGATCACTTTAGAGTTCAAGGATTATCTGATAAGAGTCTCTGATCCGACAAAAACTTGCCTCAAATGCCTCAAACCGTTGACAATCATTTCGATGGCAAAGCAGGGATAGCCTTGAATTGTTTCACTTAAGTATTCATACAATGAATTTTCAAATTATTTGATAAAAATATAATTTTTTGAATAACTATTAATATTATTATTAAGTTATGGATTTACAGCCATTAAGTTAAGAGTTTAATACTACTGTAAAAATCAAGTCTTATATCAATTTATCAATTGAATGACATTTTTAATTCAAAAAATTATAGTTATTTTACTAAAAATACAGGTTTTATATCTTCTTTTTTTTTAAAAAAAAATGTTAATTTATAGTTGAAATAAAATATATTTTAATGAAAACACTATGAGATTGTGATTAATAAAACAATTGTCATTACGAGTATTGCTCTAAAACTTTCAATTTTGTTTATATATTTTATGTCCAATTGTTTTAAATATTTCAAATGTTTATTTAATTCCAATTATTAGTCAAATATTGCATAAAATGTTTACAGTATTACATAAGCTATACTTATATTCAATTTATTATTACAATAATTATATAGAGATGTTTACTGTAAATACCGACAAACGGGAATTCATTGAAATTATTTTTTTTTTAATAACTAAATATTTTTGTACAGTTTATATTATAATAAAAAACTAAATATTATTTTTTTATATAACACAATTGATGCTTAAATTTAAATCATAATATTAATAAATTGATTTTTGTTAGTTAATTTAAACAAAAAGTTAATTTAATTTTACTTAAGCGTAACATTATATGATGAAGCAGAGTGTATATTATAATAATTTATATTATAACTAAATTTTAATTATGTTTAATTATTAAACAAATTTAATACACAAAGCAAAGTATCAGTAGATAAATTCAATATTTTTTTATATTAAATTAAAAATAAAGATTATATAAAATTCTGATATTTCTGGGAATTTCTGACTTAATTTTCAAATAAATATCGTTATGAATGACAAATGTGAACAGTTTGTGGTCACTGTTGTGGTGGCAATAATGGATGTAATCACTGATCAATTGCTGACATAATAAATAGTAATCGATGTGATCGTCGTAACAAAATCTGATTAAATGTATTTTTCGCAAATATTTCATTAAATTCAATGTTTGACAAAAAACTTCTGTCCGATCTTTAAGATCCTCAAAATGTACGACTAGTTTGCGGATAGTTGTGTGTTTGGCCACCAGTTCGTAGAAATGCCTAAAACATGTATTACAGTCACTAAACTCCAAGTGTTGTCTTTGATCTATAATACATCTGATGGCTGTCTTTCTCAGAATTAATGTCTTCATTGATTGAAATGATTTTAAAAGCCCTTCGAAGACCAAGACATCCATACAACAGAAATGAAGCAAAAGTGTCTCAACTTTAGGAAAACTAATCTTTTTATCGGTATTTCTATAGTTTAGAAACCAATGATATTTGAGTCCCAAATAAGTTAAGTTCTTTTGATTTTTAGCTAATTCTTCGAGTGATTTCCATTGATTTGTTTCTATTAATGAACTGAAAAGAAATGTCTTCAGATTCATTTGTTGGCCAATGATTTCAAGTGCCGGTGCATTAAATTGAGGAGTTATATAAAGTGTATCTATATTTTTGGCCCGACTATCGACCAAAAATTGGGCCAATTGTTCATCAAATCGTATGCTTCTATTGCATGGCGTATGGATGTGTAGAAATTGGACACTCGATGGCAACAATTTAAACAATTGAATGATACAATTTTTGGTCTCTAATGTAATCAATAATGTCTCCAATTGTGTCAAATTTTTAATACATTTGATTACATTTGGCGATTGTTTATCGCATATATAATAAAATCTCTTTAATCGCGAAGACAATAGTTGTCCCAATTGTTTGAACTCATATCGTGTGAACTCAACTGTATTGCAGCCAATAAAGAGTGTATCCAAGTGTTGAAACAAATTAACAAATGAAACAAACTTTTGATAATTTGGTGTATATTTAGCGAGTGATATATAACGAACTTTAGGAAACTGTTCCGATAGTCTGACAATCGTGTCTTCGTTATCTTCAAAAGTAAATCCTTCACTATCTGTCCGATTGAAACAATTCGTCGGTATCTTATAAATAGGATAAATGATTGGCTTATTTGCCAGATATCGGTTGTACTCAAGACATATGAAGTCATTGATGGCAATGGCTTCAATTTTATGTTGTGTCACATATTGACCGCACTGTCGAAACTGTTTGGACACCCGTTCCAGTCGTTTAATTTGATGACAATCCAAATATAACATAATTTCCATAAGTATATCATTGTTCATCACTTGTGACACTTTCTTAGTCGGACTGTCCTCTTGTTTATCACTATTGTTTGATGACATTACTGAATACCTAATGTTTTATTATACAGTATATGATAAAAGACTGTTTGAACAAAATTTACAAATATTTCTACAGTATTTCACGCGAAACATATACCGGTTATACTAAAAATTAAAATAATTATCATTACAATAATGCAATTTTCTTGAAACATTACCGGTTAATATTATTTATTGATATTGTTTAATGTGAAATTTTATATCATGTAAGTATTACGATAGCTTAATAATAATTATCGTAAAACATTTCATTTAAAATTGAATCTAGGTTAATTTTAATTACAATTTCTTTAATCATCTTTATTATGTTATACCATAATAAAGTGTATATAAAAAATATTGTGATTGTAATTGCTATACACGTACGGTATATTAAGTGTAACATCGTTTCAATAATGTAATAGAAAATATTTATTAAATTTTATACACAAATAAATAATTACTAGTAAAGCTAGTGTTAAGTTACAAAATAAAATATAATTTACTGTAATACACTATATTTAATGTAATGTAGAGTATAATTTAATATTAATACAAATAAAATACAGTATAGGATACGAGTATTACTGTATATTTGTTATAATGTTAATAATCACTTACCGTAAGATATTAATTACCGTAATTCAATCAATTGTTTATTAAATGATTGGTCTAATTGTGAAACTCGGGTCAATTGAGTTAATTCTTAAGTTGTTAACAACAGATATGACAATCACTAAAATATCGATCGCTTAGTCTTTATTAAGTTGTCGTTGATTTCGTTGTTTTTCACGAATTTGTTTCTCGATTTCGAATTGTCTTAAGTCTGATCTTTGAAGAAAAGCCTGTCTATCGACAAATGTATCTTTACTTTTGTTATGTTTTTTAAGCTCTTCTTCAATGCCTTCATTCTTCTTAAAGCTGTCCCAATCGTGAAAAGTCTTCTGCAAAACACTCATTTTAGATTTCTTTAATTGATCCACAAGACTGCCTAAACCCGCCGTTCTTTTTATTCCTCTGACATTAGTATTGTTGTCTGTCTGTTCACTCTTACTATTTGTCGATGAATTGGGAATCGATTTAACCTCAACTTCTTCTGTTACCTTAACTTCTTGACCGGCAAAGTCATACGTCTTGGTAACCGTTTGTTTGGTCATTGTTGTCGATATTTCACTTTTTTTGTTCAAACTATTTGATGGTTCATTCGTTGCGTCAGATTTTGGTAAATCTTTGCAAAACTCTTCCCAAATTGAGTCCTCCTTTTGTTTGATAACTTCTTCACTTATTTTTTCCTTATCTGTTGTTTGTGTCACTTCTATCCTGTTGTGAGTCCCATCTTCTGCATCATCGGAACAGCTGTCGTCTGTTTATCAGACAATACATTATATTAAACCTCAAGAAAGTAATAAACAAACAAAGACTTACCACTTAGGACCTCCTTTTCAGGCTTATAGTCAAAGTCATCGTTATCTTCATCAGAGTCGTCATCATTGGTGTTAAACAATTGATTAGACATATTGTGGTTAAAGAAGTGATAAACAAAGCAAACGTTTAAATCAAATGCAATTCAATACTAATGTTTGGAAAGCATTGAACACAACATTCAAAGTCAATGCCATTGAATGCCATTCAAAGTGTATGTCTTATGTGAACAACAATTGAATCATACATTTCATCAGAAAATAACGTATAAAACAATATATTGTATAATGAATACCCTATTGTTGTCATTATAGTGATTGCAATACAATTAGACTCATATTAATAGATATATTAATACAACTCTACTCATCGTTAATATAACGGAGTATATGAACGTAAGTATCAATTGAAACATATGTTGTATTAAATAAAGTATTTATTTATTAAACTAATTGTTTTGTTTGTATTAATCGATGATTTCCTCAAAATATTATTTATTTACAAAAATAGACCAAAATTTGTACTTTTATTCATATTTTACAAAATATTATCATTTCAGTCATCATTCAGTGATTAAAACTATAATTAATTAATAAAATTATCCAAATTTTACATATATTTTGTCATTTATTCAATCAATGGCTTAGTAAGTGTCAAATCATTAAAATTTTAATATTATTTGTATTGAAAAACAATTGATTTAATGAAAGCATTGAATGTTTTAATTACAAAAAGTGTTTGTATTTACAAATGCATTGAATTATAGCATCAATTGATTGAAGTATTTATTAGTCTCTTTCAGTGGTAGTGATGGGTAACACAAATACATCGACGACCTCGAAGAGAGACCGAACCTATTCGGTGGACAGCGCTTACGACCGACGGGAGTCCAGTAGTCCCGGTTCTCAGGACAACCGCACGTTTGAGTTTGTGGCCGGCGGTCGCAAAAAGCCAGTCTTATGCTATCAATCGTCGTCAGAATACGGACCCGAAGAGACCATCGATGAGTTCAATAAGGTTTGACAATATGTGGTATTTTGGGGGTTTTGGTCTATATTTGATGTAATATTATAGGGTCGGGTGAGAGCGTCGACCATTAGTGAAGGCGCCGCTATCAATGAAAATGCTTTACCAACTGTTTTCAAATGGGAAGGTATAATAACAAACTCTTTATTTACAGACATCTTTTTAACTAACTAATTATTGACAGGCGGTGGCAAAGAGGTGTTCATTACGGGAACATTCAGTGATTGGAAACCTATAAAGATGTGTCACTCACACGGAGACTTCGTGGCCATCATTGATGTACCAGAAGTATGTGCAACAATCAAGTGCTATAATTTATGAAACAACTAATATATCTGTTTATTAGGGAACACATAATTATAAGTTTGTCGTCGATGGTCAAGAAGTGGTGGATGAAAAAATATCCGTAGATGAAGACAAACAAAATAATGTAATTAACATTAAAAAGGGTGACTTTGAAGTATTTGAAGCACTGGCTATGGATTTGGCATCAAATAACAATAACGCAAATAATAATTACAATAATAACAATAATAATAATTCATCTTCTGGTTCACCTCCCGGTATGTAATGCTTAGAGTGATATAATTTACTAATTTAATAGTAAATAATAATGAATAATTGTAAACAGGTTCATATTCCCAAGAGTTGCCATCGAGAGCTACAGAATTTGGTAACAATGTCCAGATGTCAGGAGCCGGACCACCAATACTACCGCCGCACTTATTGCAAGTGATTCTCAACAATCCTAACGTTAACTTCTGTGAACCAACACTTCTTCCCCAACCAAATCATGTTATGCTAAATCATTTATACGCCCTCTCTATTAAGGTATCAAATATTTATTATTATTTATTATTAAAAACTAATAGCGTAATGATTAGATAAAGTTATAAATAGATTTAATAACAATTTTAATGATAGATATTTATAATGACTTTTCAAATATTAATGACATATAGGACGGTGTGATGGTATTGAGTGCAACACATCGCTATCGCAAGAAATATGTCACAACTTTACTCTATAAACCCATCTAATTATTATTATTTACTTTAATAATCAATTCATAATTTTTCATTAATTATGTAATCGTGTCATCTCTTGTTATTATTATTATTAACCACCAAATTAAACCCAAAATTAGTCTAACCTTTGGTCTGATAGTTAGTATCGTTATTGTCTACGATATTAATGTCACCCCTTTTCTGTAACATTTCAAACGCCTGTTGTGTCTGTGCAACGTTGAACCGATTTCGGGCTAAATTGTGGCGACAATAAAACCAATACATGAGTACAAAACCGGTGAAAGTAAAGACCGCTGTATTTGTGGCTTTAGACACACGACCTATAAAAGCGATACAATATATAAAACATTAATCAATTGTCATTAAGTCTCATATTAATAATTTTTGCCAATAAGTACCATAAAGTCTCTCTTTTAAGTTATAGTAATATTAACTAAGTTAAGAGATTTTGTATAAATCGACTTTTCAGAAAATAGTGAGAATTTACGGTACATTACATTAAATTTAAAATATAAATCAGAAATTAACTTTAAAAGCATTTATGGGTTAAGCGATTAAAATGATTAAAACGAGGATTTATATGTTTAGTTTTTTATTATAAATAAATCAACAAAAATATATTTCCTAAAAAAGGTTATATAACTTAACATTATTGTGAATTGTTTTTATTTTATTAGTAAAAACAAAATTTTGATTAAAATTAACACAACATATAATTATTGATTGTATATATAATATAAATGTATTAATTTTATCTTATAGTTTACCCAAAAAAACAACAAAAATGATAAAATGTTATATTTTTTGTTAAATCATTGATGAAATATATATAAATAAAATATAAATCAATTTATAGATAAACCGGTTGTATTACAGACATGTCAATAGATTTATTGATTTCATTAAATAAATATTCAAATAAATTATTATATCATTAATCACTTGACAAACCTTTATTTGTTAGGTGTGTCTCGACTACCGAAACACATTCAAAAAATGCTAACCTATTGTCCTAACAATAATCACTTACTGGTGGCCGTAAAAGTCATGAGTCCGCCGCCAACTCCAGCCAATAATCCGTAAAGAAATGACTCTTTAAAACAAGGGATTTGGTTGAGATTGCGACCGAAGAATAGAATCTGTTGAAGAGTTGACACAAAAATTAAATATTTAAATCAAATGCTAATCAAGTGTTATCTTTTATGGTGACATTGTGTGACCTCTTTATTGGGTTCATCGTCTTGAATGCCTTCAATAACAGTCGATGACTTGCTGTCCAACGGCATCACTGATGATAACTACTTTGACTAACAAATTATTTGGTCCTTTCATACAGTATGCATGTATTGCCTAATATAATGCTTGTTTACACCTAAGTTAGTGACTTACTGTACAGTCTGTACTACAAGTGCGGGCAAGAGGTGTCAGTGCTTACAAGTGATAAGCATCTGATAATTGAAACAAAGCCGGCTTTGACTGTCTGTCTGGATATCTGTCTCGTGAACCGGTTGTTTGAAGTCATTGAATCAGTTATGTGTTTGAAATCAATTCCGGTTCAAATCTTTCAAACTATTCATTTATTACACTATTGTCGAGTCAGCGATACGTTAGGCAGTGATGAGACTTTTATTTACTCTTTTGTAACATTAAAACACATTTATTAATAATACTGTTAAATAAAGTTTGTCATTATATAATAGTAATTAGCAATTAAATAGATTTTAAATAATTTTGACATTTAGTGCAAACAAATGACAAAATCTTTATATTTAAGTAATTATTTGTTCAGATCTAATGACCTTAAAGTGATTTATCATAAAAAATCAATACAAAAACTATGGTAAAGAAAATAGCATTCAATAAAATTAAGCGTATTATGAGTAATAAAATAATGACAATTAGATGACTGATAGACTGCCATTTAGTCGGCCTGTTGTGGCTCTTCCTCTTCGAATTCTCCCTCATCCTCAGCGGTCGCCTCTTGGTATTGTTGATACTCAGAGACCAAGTCATTCATATTGGATTCGGCTTCAGTGAACTCCATCTCATCCATACCCTCACCGGTATACCAATGAAGGAAAGCCTTACGTCTGAACATAGCTGTTGAATGTAAAAAATCATTAATTAAAAAGTCCTATAATTAGAGATAACAATACATACCAGTAAACTGTTCAGATATACGTTTAAACAGCTCTTGAATAGCAGTGCTGTTACCGATGAAAGTGGCCGACATCTTAAGTCCTCGCGGAGGGATATCACAGACAGCTGTCTTAACATTGTTGGGAATCCATTCAACAAAGTAAGAGCTGTTCTTATTCTGCACATTAAGCATCTGTTCGTCCACTTCTTTCATTGACATACGGCCTCTGAATACAGCAGCAACAGTCAGATATCGACCGTGTCGTGGATCGCATGCGGCCATCATGTTCTTCGAGTCAAACATTTGTTGAGTAAGTTCAGGAACGGTAAGTGCTCTGTATTGTTGTGAACCACGACTTGTCAATGGAGCAAATCCGGGCATAAAGAAGTGCAAACGTGGGAACGGAACCATATTCACAGCCAGTTTACGGAGATCAGCGTTAAGCTGTCCGGGGAATCGCAAGCATGTGGTCACACCTGACATTGTGGCCGACACTAAATGATTCAGATCACCATAGGTCGGGGTTGTCAACTTAAGGGTACGGAAACAGATATCATATAGGGCTTCGTTATCGATACAAAACGTTTCATCGGTGTTCTCAACCAATTGATGGACAGACAGAGTTGCATTATAGGGCTCGACCACAGTATCGGATACTTTAGGTGAGGGCACGACACTGAAAGTATTCATAATACGGTCGGGATATTCCTCCCGGATCTTTGAGATTAGAAGGGTTCCCATTCCAGAACCGGTTCCGCCACCCAATGAATGGGTCATTTGGAAACCCTGTAGACAATCGCAACCTTCGGCCTCTTTGCGGACTACATCTAAAACGGCATCAACCAGTTCGGCGCCTATACGAGACAAACATAATACCGCATTGCGTGTCAATTACTAATATATTATTCATTGCAGTCATAAAAAATCAATACAAATGACTCAAACAATGAGAATCAATAGTATTATCACAAATGAATTTGTAATGGCTTTACAAATGGCTATTAATAGCCATAGTTTTAATAAACAATAAAACAAACAATTAATATACAAAAAACAATACCTTCGGTGTAGTGTCCTTTAGCCCAGTTGTTACCGGCACCCGATTGTCCAAACACAAAGTTGTCGGGACGGAATAGTTGTCCAAAAGGTCCTGATCTAACCGAGTCCATAGTGCCGGGCTCGAGGTCAACGAGTACGGCTCGGGGGACATACTTGCCGTTTGAGGCCTCGTTGTAATAGACATTAATGCGCTCCAACTGTAGGTCACTATCTCCGTGATAACTGCCGGTCGGGTCGATGCCGTGTTCATCGCTTATAACTTCCCAAAACTTGGCTCCGATTTGATTACCGCATTGTCCGGCCTGAATGTGGACGATCTCACGCATTGTTTATTTAAATTTATTAACTTTTAGATACAAATCAATTAATAATTAGTTTATTAAATGTGTTGTCAATTGAAACCAACGCCCAATTGAACGACTAATACGTTAATAGTTAGACAATGAATGTTGTATTGAATGAACTGAAAAACTCAACGCTTTATATGCCTATAGAGTAGTAGTAATACTGTATTGCAGTCACTATAGAGACTCAGACTCTATGTATGTATTAATTGTATGGCAATTGTGTGGCAATTGTGTGGCAAATGGCGCGCAAAACACTGTCGACAAACTCAACGGTTGCCAAACACTGTACACGAATCACAGTTCAATCACTCATTCTATTTGACAATCAATAACGTATGAGTTGTAGTAACAAAACATATGACTTAAACAACAAAATGGTCTCAAAGTTATCACATTATTCATGTCATATATATGAGTCACTATTGGCACTAATGTTGTCCAATAGGAATGCTATGTAAATGTGTGTAACCAATGGTTACTAACCAATGGTTTCCATTTATTAGTCGAACGAGTGATTCACTTGACTTTCGAATACAAACATAATATTCATTCGTATTATTGTTTATCCAATCAATACAAACATTTGCTGACAAATAGGGTTTGTAATGATTCCCTCTTTCGTCTTGTTTTCCAAAAGTTCCCTATTTTTCTTGCTCTCTGGGAATTCCTAGTGAATCTATTTCCTTGTCTATTGAACCCTAAATAATATATTTTATTATAATGTTTGAAAAACAAATGTTATATTAAACTTTATTTTGAGTGGTATTCATAAATATTAAATTATTGTTTTTATTAAATTATTAAATGTAATCAAAATATTAAAATCTTTGTACTATTTATTATAATAATATAAATTATATATTCCCTTCTAACGAGTTAGAGAGGGAAAAATTGGAGGTATTTTATTAGGGAACTTCCCTCTCTTGGGAATCATTACAAACCCTATTTGACAAAACACATCAAACTTGAGTTCGACTAAACATTTCAATGCATTCAATACTTAAACAACTTTTTAGTTATTTTTTTTAAATGATTTTTGTTTTGAATGAAAGGATTTTTTAAATAGTTTTTTAAGTTTTTTTTAATTATTTTTTTTATTATTAGATTTTCATTAATATCTAACGCAATAATTATTAAACAAAAATAAGACAATTATTAAATCATTTGACAAATTAGTGCCAAAACATTGTATAACATTTGCATCAATTGTTTTCTACAAAAAAAAGTTAACAAAAAGGAAACAAAATTTAATAATAAATGAAAATTAATTAAATATTCAGTAAAATTGCATAACATTTGATGGTAATGGCAGATGAAGACACTGACGATTACATGAATGGTATAACATTTGTGACGGCAATTGAGAAACGATATATCGAGACATGTATTATACCGAAAGATGTCCTCCATTTGCCGCAAACCGATGGTCACCAACGGACCATTGAATTAGTCGGCTTTGAGAAGACATTCGAGCGATTGAATGAAGTGGTTGTCTCACACATGAAGATCATTGCCAGTGGTAATGATTGCCATCGTCTGAGATCAGTATTAAGTCAAACAAAGACATTGGTTTTGTCGAATAACTGGTTAACCGATTGGATGGAAGTGTTTAAGATTGTGGTTAATATGGAAATGTTGACGGATTTGGTTTTGAGTCACAATAAGTTGAAACTTCCGACTGAAGAACAGCTGTTGGATGAGTCGTTGAAATCAATCAAAACTTTAATCATTGATAATATTAATTACAATTGGCATAACATCTTATATTGTTGTCAAATGTGGCCAAGTATTGAAAGATTGGACTTATGGGGCAATTGTATTAGTCAACTGTCCTCTCCTAAGGGCTTAATCTTTAATCATTTGAATTATCTGAGTCTTTGCAATAATAACATCGAAGATTGGCTTCAAGTTTGTAAATTAGGAGAACTGCAAGAGTAATGTCATTATAAATATATTAGTTATAATTATTTATAAATTTACGTAATATTTTGAATTTAATTTGATTTCAGACTTAAGACATTAGACGTTTCCGATTGTAATTTAAGGCAAATTTGTTTTAGAGATGTTGTAGTCAATCAAAAGACACTACTGTTTCCACAATTAGAGTATCTTCTTATAAGTAATAATAGGCTGAATGAGTGGCGAGATATCGCTGAACTCAATAAACTACAAAAACTACAGAATCTGTTCATTAAAAATAATCCAGTCTTTGATAACGAAAAATATGATACAAATTTCAATTTCATATTATCTCGTATTGAAGGACTCAAAGTTTTAAATCGTGAAAATGTAATTTATTTAAAACTAAAAATTTTAAAGTTTATTTAATTTAAATATAATAACTAAACTGTATTTTTATTTAAATTAAGATATCAGAAGCGATGAGAAGAGATTCAGAGATAGCATACTTAAGAAGAATGTATAAAAACTATGATATTATTAAAAGATTAGAAAATGAAAATAAATTGATTGAATTTATAGAAGAAAATCCTACTTTTGAGTCAATTTTAGCCAAATTGGGTACTCCTTATGGTTTTGAAAATCTTTCTAAAAAAGAAATGGAAAGAAAAAAGTTTTTCAGTGAGTTTTTTGTTGACTTACCGATAGGTTTTAAAATTTATTAATTATTGCATATATTTAATATTTACCCAAAAAACTAGACATAAAACTGAGAAATCCTTTTGATAATAAAATGGAGATCGAAAAGAAAATACCCGGTATTTTAACCAAACATTTGATTTTTATTTAAAATGAATTTTTAAAAATTATTTACAATTAATTTTTTTAGCTTCAATTACAATAATTAATTTGAAAACAATTGTTCGCAAACTGTTTGATATCGATTACAATTATGATTTTAATCTTATATGGACTTCAAAGGTTTGTGAACTCAAAATATTTGATGAAAATTAGAAAAAAAATAATTTTTATAATATATGGAAATGTATGTTATATTTACAGGATTTTGAGTGTCCTCTCGATAAGGAATCGCAAAATCTAAACTACTATTCTATTGAAAATGGAGACACTATTTTGGTTAATATAGATTAACTGTCAATTACGTGATTAATTATAGTCATATTTTTTATAAATATATTTTTACTAAACTCAGCTCACATTTGCTGTAAATGATGTGCGAAAATATAATAATTAATTTGTTACTAAAAAATCAATTTGTTTTTCTTATCATTTTAATAAAATTACTTTTAAATTTACTAATCAAATAATATATTCTAATTTACTTAGTTTTATTGGCACTGCCTATTAGTTCATTATGCATACAATTGTTTATTTGACACTTTGTGTTTAGCACTTTATTTACAGTATAATAAAAATTTTACTTAAAACTTATATAATAAACTCCTAAATAAATTATGTTTGACCTGAAAATTGTTTTGTATAAATAAGACAAATTCGTTTTGTAACTATTGTATAGTAAGGCAGCAATAATATAGTTATGATAATAACGATAAAAAGAAATATACGGTAATAAAAAATACTAAATTACTATTCGTTTCATTTTTAGTTTTTTTGGACAATCAATTAGTTTAACTTTAAATTTGTGGTTAAAGTTTGTTTTTGATCACATCATGTTCTGTGCTTTCGTTGGCCACCTGTTCTCTGATGGACTCTTCCAGAGCGACAGGTATGAGAAACTCTTTGGGAAGACAACGTTCAAGGAATGGCACACACGTCGAGATATACGCCAATCGATTGATCCACGAAGGGATCGATTTACCAGAAAGCGTCTGTATATACAATATATCAATTTTATCACAATTTATGTTATATATTGTATATTCTTTAATTAGCACTAATTATTTCCATACCTTTACCAACGCTTCGGTAAAATGGTTGCAATTTCTGTGTAAAAGATGATATTTATCTCCTTTGTATTCGTTACCCATTTCGTGGATTATTTGATTAATATCTTCTCGACTGAAATCAGTGTAACCGATAAGCAACGACTCTCTGATGTTAACAAACCAATTGACAATTCATTAGAAAATAAATATTAATTCAACTGAAGTCCAATTAATCAAACATTACTTGAATTTAAAGGTTTCCTCTCCGAGTGCTTCAACATCTTTGGGTTCAATCTCGAAGATTCCCGAAAAATTAAAGGGATGTCCGCCGTAGGCATACTCTGGACATCAAATAATTGACAAGAAATTTAATTATCAATCATATTATTCATTTAATTTTTTTAAAATGTATTTATAGTAAATTTACTGTATATCATATATTATTAAATAAAATATAATATCATATATGATATAATATATTATTTATATTCAAATCAACCTTCAAATACATACCTGAGTCGTATATATGGACACCTGAGTGATAGATACCGATACCCAATGAAGTCGTGTATTGATTTATAGATGCCTTTAATGGTAAGACAATTATTTGGATTAATAAAATATAAAGTGGTCATCAATTTATCGGTAAATACTATACCATATCGTAAGTGTTGACAATAACGGCCTGTCGTGCCATAACTGTTTGACAATAATGAGTGGACACAATTTGACAATAAATTTAACGATAAAATATATCAAATAATTTGAATTACAATTTAATTGCGAAATTTGGTCTCAAAAATGGGAAAAACAAATAAAAAGATGGCTTTAATTGATGAGAAAATGAGTGAAACAAAAAAATAAATGACAATAATTAGGGAAATGTTGGACACAAACACACAATTGAAATAAGTTTTATCAATAAATGTGTCAAATCATGGGTTCAATTGTTTTATGCATTAATTATAATAAAATAATTATAAATAATAATTGAATCTATAATTCAATTCAAATGTTTACAAAACAAAAGACTGTTTACTATTTAGTCTGTATTTCACTGTTTATAAGAGTCATCTGATTGTCAATAATGAGAGACAGAGAGAGAGAGTGTGTGTAAAGTAAAGTGTATTTAAATATTTGATTCATTCATTCAATAACATTGTTGTCTGTGATTCATATAATAAAATTAGTTACAGTTTTCATATTTATAATTACAAATACATTTTAATTCAATGTCTTTTACATTAAATAAAATTCTAAATAAATATTATATTTATTTTTATGTTTTTTTTTGTTTTTTGTTAAGTTTTTTAAGTTAGTCTTAAAGCCTTAGAGCTAATAATAACTAATAAAATTAGATTTTATAATAATTTTGATATAAATATATCTACAGTAGTAAAAAATATTTTATACAGTAGTATATATTAATTAAAATTCTACAAATAAACTAATTATAATATTTATGTAAGAATAATATTGAATATATTAAACTAAAATTTATTTTTAAAATAATTTTTCCTTGTATAATTATTGCTCAATAATTAACTAATTTAGAATAAATACAAGAAAATATTTTTTTTTCTGCTAACTATTAATATTTTAGAATTTAATAACTTTTTTGTATACTTTATATTTTTATTAGTTATAGTCAAAAATATTTAATTTCCTAATTAAAGTTTTCAGTTTATCATTCAATATCAGTAGAAATCTAATTTTATTCATAATTTTTATAGAAATCTTATTAATACAGATTAATACTTTAATACGTTTATTATTAATTAGTTGTCAATATAATAAATTTATTAAATATTAAAATTATCAAACATATTATGAATAATAATTTATAACTAATAATAATTATTTATTTTCATATAAAAATATTATATTTTAATTTTGTACTGTTCTTAATATCATAGATTTTATTATGTAATTTTTTTAAAAATTAACAAACAATTAAAAATAACTTTTTACTAATTTTGAATCAATTGTAGACTATTTAATATATTTTGATTAACTAAAATTCAAACGAGTAATCATTATATTAATAATAGAGTGATTGTATTATTTAGTGTAACGTTATGTATGAATGTCTATCATATAATGTTTGATCGTTTGTGTGTTTTATTCGACTCTAATATACTCTGAGCCATGAAAACGATGTTTCATTGAAATTGAATGCAATTTAACAAACAATTTGAAGACATTTAAACATCAATTGTATTGTAAATCACGTGTAAATTGATTGACATTTAATGTGTTTGTATTGATTGACAAACACATTGTCATTGATCTCAACCATCGCTGATATCAATCAAACCAAAAAAGTATGTATTTTTGATAATATTTTTGAAAAGAGACCGCATTTTCATTTGACAACAATCTCTCACTTTTTAAATACATTTTTAATACGAAATTATTAAATGTTTTTTATTTAAATTAATTAATATTTCTTTATATTTTAATTACTAACAGATTTGATGTCTTTTACTGAAACAATCGTTAAAAGCAAGTGTTAGTCAAACTGATGCCATCGGCGCCAACATTGGGTGGCCAACAGGCCAATGGTCATCATAATCACAATCAAAATGGCCAAAACAGTTCACCGAATCATATGATGTCCAACGATGATGTCGGCATACGTGACGTGTGGGCATCCAATTTGTTGGACGAGTTTAAAACGATCCGCAAGATTGTTGGGAAGTATCCGTTTGTGGCGATGGACACAGAGTTCCCGGGTGTAGTGGCCCGACCTATTGGTGAATTCAGGAGTACATCCGACTATCAATACCAACTGTTACGTTGTAATGTAGATCTATTGAAGATTATCCAATTGGGACTGACTTTTTTAGACTCTAAGGGAGAGACACCTCCCGGTTACACGACCTGGCAGTTCAACTTCAAGTTTAATCTGAATGAAGATATGTTCGCACAGGACTCGATTGAGTTGTTAACAAACTCTGGCATTCAGTTTAAGAAACACGAAGACGAAGGTATAGATCCCTACGATTTTGCCGAATTACTCATGAGTTCGGGTATTGTGTTGTCGGATAACGTGCGGTGGCTATCATTTCATAGCGGTTATGATTTTGGTTACCTTTTAAAGATATTGACCGACCAGAACCTACCCTCACAAGAGTCACAGTTCTTTGAATTATTGCGGATCTATTTTCCAGTCATTTATGACGTCAAATATCTTATGAAGAGCTGTAAAAATCTTAAAGGAGGTCTACAAGAAGTGAGTATATAATTTAATAAGTTTTTTATATCGTTAAAATTTATAATTTATATTGTAATAGGTGGCGGATCAGCTGGAATTAGAACGTAAAGGACCGCAACATCAGGCGGGCAGTGATAGTCTATTGACAGGAGCGGCCTTTTTTAAAATGCGAGAAATGTTTTTCGAGGATAATATAGATGACGCCAAATATTGCGGACATTTGTATGGATTAGGAACCGCTTTTGTGATGAATGGCAATTATGACGAGTCAAATAACTCTTCAACAATCACTCCGACCAACACAACGACACCTACCACTACATCTGCATAAATAAGATACAAACATAATAGTAGTGCCGATTATTGATCATTAAAATAATGATGATTTTATTATAAACTGGTTAAGTTAATTGTTTTATAACTTCACCGATTTTATACTAGATTTGAGTTTAATTATTTTAATTATTAATCTAATATTATATACAAAAACTAATTTTAAAAGCATATTGCAAGTTATATATAAATTATATATACAGTATATAAATTAAGCTCAAATCAATTTGTCATTAAATTCACTTTTTATCCAAATAAACATACGTTCGTTTTAAAAAAAATTGTTATTAAATTTACTAATTATAAAATTTAATAAAATCTACTATGATTTTAGCTTTTAGTCATACATTTTAAAATAATTTTATCAATCATTATTTTTGTAGTTAACTATATTTTTATTATAATAAATTTACAATAAAAATAACTCCATTAATTAAATTACAAGTTTTGTCTCCAAATAATTAATGATATGATAACAAAAACTATTCGTCATAATAGAAATAATTTCAAAATAATAATATTATTAACGATTTGTGGCCGCATTCATAAATCTTAGCTTAATCTCAGTTGAAACACAATCCAGTAATTAATTTGTTGGTTTACAAACTTAAGCTGTTTTTGGCGCATACATTGATGAATTGAAAAAAAACATCAAATAATTGTCAATCGTATATATTTTGAGTTAATCTTAAAATAAGTTACGGTATGTATTAACAACATGTCTTAGATCTTGTACAGCAAATTCAAATTAGTTGACAATAATCCATGTTTCAATCCTACTGTAAATTAATTAATTAAATTTTGAAGTTATTTAATAGTGATAACAGATTGAAATAGAAATACAAACTAAGCGATTGTTTTTCATATAAAAAACTAGTTTCAATCAGAAATCAATAATTTATTGAATACAGTCATAATAATAATCTCAAAAAAAAATCGTATATATATTTTATTTACAATAATAGTTGTGTGCAATCATTAATATATTATAGTTATGGACGGTATTGAGTTTCAATTATAATTTCCGCAATTACTTTACAATATCGTATATTATATATATATGGGTAAAAGTTTCTCTCATATCCGGTCATTTGTCTTAATTAAATATATTATCAATAGCTTTATATATCTATATATATATATATATATATATATATATATATTAATAATAATCAGTCGACTTCCACAATAATAGCCTCTCCGGCATCGAGTCTCAGAAATTTCATATAAAGAAACTCTTTTTCGCGATTTCTAACACTTGATATTTTAATTCGAGAAAAATGAAATTTATCGGAAAAATCTTTGATTTTCGGTTTGAGACCAAAATTGGCAAATAATATGTAACGGAATCGTGTGTCGGGTGGGTCTCCTCTATCGAAATAACGCTCTAATACTAACTGATTGTCGTCTATATAATGAAACAAATAGTTGCCGTGTTTTCCCATTTCTTCGATCTCGAAATAATCACTTCTGAATGCAAGCAATTCATTGAACCTTTTGATGGATTCGTTTTGCTTTAAGACATTAATTTGGGTATAATTTGGATGAATTGGTAGCCACGGTCTCGATGTGTTTGATTGAGTAAAGTTAGCGTACAGAGTGGACATCCACGGCATCGGACATAATTGGCCGCCTCTATACTCCTGTAATAAACACAATAAATAAACACAAATATGAATAATGTATATAATTAGGAACACAAGCAATACATACATTAAATTAAATAAAATAATGTCAAACCATGTCTTCAATTAATTATGCAATACTTGTTCCGCAAATCTCTAGTTATCACTGATATATCAATTTGTTAGACAACTATACAAAGTCCTTACTAAGTCTATACATAAAACTGATATTTAATTTTTCATTAAATCAAATGTCACTAACATTTTACATACAAGTGTTATATTATACAGTATTTCATAAAACAGTATAATATTGAATAAATCTTAGCTTATTATCAAAACTTGTATATTAATAATTAATATAATTAATAATTCATATCAATTAATCATTAAAAGTAATTATTATGAAAATATCATTATATTATTAATAGAAATTTAGATTAAAAATTAATGAATTTATGTTATAAATATGAGAATAAGATAAATACAAATTGTAAATGTGATAAACATTTTTATAAAATCAATTATTGATATATTAATTGAAACGTTTGACACAAAAACAATTGAATTAAATAATGTTTTGCAGAGTTTGAGTCAAAATTGATTTGTCAAATATAATTGAACTGATTTGACGATCAATATTTATTTATAGCAAACACTTTACTTTCAATTGTATTGTATTATATAAGAGATGGTCAACTGATCCGATGAAAATAAATAATTGCTATACTTTAATACAATTATATGTTGAGACTTAAATGTTATGTATTGTATTGTTTGAATAATTAATAATAAAAAACAGATCACATTTTTATATAATGTACATAATTTATATCTAGTAAATGTGATTAAATTTTTTTATGTAATTAAATTTTGTGTTTAAATGTATAAATTACTATTAAATTGCATAAATAAATTGTTAAAAGATTTATATGTTTATATCAAATTCAATCTAAATAAATATTTAAAAAATAGAGAGCTTTATATTACAGTGATATTTCTATTTTGTATAATATATACAGTAATACTGTATAAATTGCAAGTGTTTTACATTTTAATGTTTGATAAATATTTTTAATGAAATTGATTTTCCTATTTAATTATATGTCTTAAAAAAGTAAGATCACATTAAGTATAATGTAATTAACAAAATGACATTCACTATTCAACTGTTACTATCTTTTATGTAATTTATTATAAATTCAAAATAAAAATCGTTTTACAAATCAATTTTGTATATTTATATATATATATATATCTAAATTATTAGAGAAACTATTGAAATATTAAAATAATATATTAATACAAACAAAACTTCATTGTCTTTTTAATGATTTTATTTAATATAAAATAATAAAGTTTTCTTTTTTAAGAATTTTTTCATGTATAATAATATAATGATGTTTAAATTTATATGTTTTCATAATGTTTTTTACTAAATCTTGTATATAATGAGATATAATTTTTGTTTGTTAACTCAGCAAAGACTACACTATATATTAATATTAATTTTCTTTTTTTAATATGCAGTACTTGTGGTACACATATTTATTATAATAACTTATAAGAAATAATGATATTAATAAAATACACAAATGTATGTCTCATTTGTAAGTAACTTATTTTCATCGTTTATATAATATAAAGCATAAGTACTATATATACAGTAATTGTCTAACGAAACATATATTCATTACACACATATTGTTTAGTACAGAATATTCTGTTAATGTACTAATTGGTTGATTCCCTAACAAAGAGAGCACTGTTTGCCGATTGCATTACCTTTTGTGTGATGGGATCGTATGTGTCTTGTAATGCAATCTCGTCGCCATAAAACCAGCTGACAGTCCCCGGTAACATCATTAACAGGAACGACACCGTCATTGTATATTGACTACCAATCCTTGTGGCCAAACGGGATCTAAATTTTATGATTATATACTTTAATATTTATTGCATATTATACTGTATTATTGGATATTCAGTTTATGATAATATCAAATATAAACTAATATATGATGTAATTTAATACGGCATATGTAAAGCAATTTATAAATTTTTATATGATATCTAAAGGATTATATATCATAAGCAAACAATGCTTAAGAAGTTGATTGACTGACTTAGTGTTTGTCAAATGTGTTAAAAAATGTAAACCTTTCGACATCGCCGACACTCCAGTGAATCCAAGGCATTGCCGGCGAATTAAGAAATATGGCGTTCACTTGATCTCTAATGGTCTCAGTTTTATTGATATCAATATTTAACTGAACATCAATTACATCAAAATAAGAGTTGATATCCAAGTGTTTGTGTGAGCCGTTAGTGGCAGTGTTGGTGCTGACTGTCATGTCATTAGGCGCTAATGGATTTCTCATATAATTTAACAACAATTTATGCCTCTTTTGCACAAAACTATGCGAACATATGAGCACTTTGTGAGCACCGACACCAACTCCCGGCTCATTCACCACGAGGTTGGCTCTCAGTCTTAATTCATTTAATATATCATAGAGAGTGGCCTCGTTATCGACATACATATGCTCTAAGCGTTTCAAATAAAAGCCATCAATATATTTGAGCCAATAGTCTATCACTTGAAACATCTTATGGTGAACTCCTGGATGAGACCAATTGAGATGAAGGCGTCCACCAAAATGTGACTTAAAATTAAGATTTATTTTATTACTAATTATTTGATTAATAATAATTAATTAATTAAGAAAAATGATTACATTTTTATGAATAAAATCACTTTGGAGTCGATCTGTCGCAGAACTTGATGTCCACTCTTCGTCCTATTTATTAATAATATTAAATCACATCCATATGTCTTAGGAATCAAATTATATGAAACATTGAAATCATTTCCTTAGAGTCAGTCATGCATTACATCCATTCATATATTGATATTAACATTTTTATTATATAATTTATATAATATAAATACTATATAAATAGTACTGTACTGTAACTTATATACCTTATCTATATATTATATATACAGTACTGTATATATGGGTTATTAAWGTATTAAATATATAGGAATACTTTGTCTTAGCAAAAGACTGTTAGTAAAAGTTAACAAAAAAACTTATGAAATAATGTCTAATGAATAGATACAAAGCAATTGATGAACAATTTGTGAAATACTCGGTACCCCTCAACCTCTCATTGTTAATATCACAATACAATGCAAATATTGTAACTTATATATCAAATAGTACTGTATTTGATAACATAATACCACAGATTTGATATAATGTTCAGTGACTATACTGGATGTGATGATCACTGACTTGTGACATAAGAGTAATAATAATAATAATATTAATATAAATAGTGTAATAAACTTACATTAAGCTGATCTCCGCTGACGTTAACATAAAAATATTGATACTCTGACTGTGAGGATCTATTCAATAGATAGTGTGCAGCCCAGGGATGTTGATCTGATGTCCAAACGATATTTATATCCAATATTATATAAATTTTTGATTTGTGTAACTCTTTAACCTGAAACATATATTACATTATAAAAAAATATAGTACCAAAAGTGTCTGGTTAAGTTTAATCTATAATTTTTAATACTATTTATAACATTTTCAATGATAAATAACATTATATTTATATACCGTACAATATATAGTATAGTACAGTAAAAAGTGGCACTCAATGATACTAGACTTGATTATAACTATAAAGTAAATGTGTCGGAAAAGGCATTAATGACAAAAAATAATTTTACACAAATATACAATACTATACTGTACTATTTTATAGTTACTTTAAAAAAGCTATTAGTAATAATGTTCAAAAAGCAATTGTATAAATCATAAATTGCTGACCAATTCAAGAAAGTGATTCATTTTTCCTAAGTGTGGATCAACATTATAGAAGTCGAGGACATTGTCATATCTGTGTGGATAATCCAGTGCTGAAAATATAGAGTTAAGTCGGACGGCATTAACGCCCAGTTCTTTAAAATAATATATTTTATCGCGTAATCCGTTAAAATCTCCAAAGCCGTCGCCATCCGAGTCCTTAAAAGAGGAAACAAATATTTCATAAAATGTTGATCTTCTCCACCAATTGGTTTCAAACATGTGGTCATCAATAGTGTCAACGTCGAGATGTTTGTGTCGCCAAATAAATATTATAGTCATTAAAACAATAAGACAACAAATTAGTATACATAACGTAACACTAAACACAGTTTTAAAGGCAGAAAAATAGCACAGAGTATAGTCACGAGTAAAACGCTTTCTTTTCGACAAATATCTGCTTCGGATGTCTTTTGATATAGAGTTCTGCATTTGTGTCCACAAAACATCCGTACCATTGGATGGATTCTCATTAAGACATGTTGTTGTCGTATGAGTTGTTGTGGGTGTCGATAATAATAGATATCGCATACTCTGAAAGTCCTGTATAGAGTCTTCCAGTAGTCGAGTGGCACTATCATTGGTATCACTATCACTTGATGACGATTTACTGATAACTGTGCCATTACTTACAATCAGATTAGGGTTTGGCTGACAATTCATAGCAATATTCATATTATTTTGAACGTAACAATCTTCGGACATTTCGTCCAATACTTGAAAGCTGACTCCTTTGGTAAATCGCGTGGTCTGACCAAAGGTGATGCCATCCGACAAATGCGAAAGATGTAGTTCACTGGCCATTACATCACACTTTCATCTATTTTGACAAACAATCAAATAAATCAATCCATTAATTTCAATCATATAAAAGCTTTTCTTTAATTTAATTACTGATATATACCGGTATTATAGGGAAAAGACAACACTTTGTTATTGATTAACAATATTTGCTTTTATGGCTAATTTATATTTGATTCATTAGTAAGTATTTGTTAGTTTGAATGCAATAGTGTATCAAAAGTTAATTGATTTGATAAAAATTTGGTCAAACATTACTCATATTCTAACGAAATCAATAAAAATCTTTAGTTTCATATAAATTCATATCAATAATAATATTAGTTTTTAATTCATTATATTTAGCATTTTAGTAACCTTAAGAACTTTAGTAAAAACAATAACGATTATTGTTTATAAAAAATATTGTAAATAAAATTATATTTTTATTGAAATTATTGTAAGTTTAACTTACTTTGACAACACTTAATAACAACAATTATCTGGTGTTGATTTGTGGACTAGTGTTTCGGTACTCACTTAGTACCACTTCATCAGCACAGTTGCGCTGATAGTTATAGACATACCAGTGCTTTAAGCCGTACAGGAAGTCAGTATTTGGGTTAGACATTTGATACATAATTGAATAGTTTATATTATCTATATATTTATATTATTTATTTAATCATTATTCCCAATAATTGTTGGGAGTTTTTAATTACAAAAATATATATTTGTCATATTGTTTATTTGAGTTTGAATTTATAGATATTATTACAGTATTATTAAAATATTGAATAATCAGATACAAACAAAATTGATACCAAAATTCAAATATTAGTTACATTAGTTAATTACATAATTTAATATTCTGTGCAATAGTTACCGGTTCAATTAGTGGACCGGTTTCTATTGCTTAGCACTAATAATATCTGTAATAATATCTATAAATTCAAACCCAAATATATTTTTATTGATTTTAATATTTTTCAAATTTCAATGACAACTATATATAGTATTGTTTAGAATAATAAATATTCAATAATATTAATTAAATATAGATTAGATAAAGTGTCATATATTAGTCATTGTTATAGTTATATATTATTATATATTTTTAAGAATTTTCTGTCACTTCATTGAAGTACTTTTAAACAAATCTATGTTATATTGATTTATAAAATAAAATAAAAAAGTAAAAAGTTGTTAAAAACACAAAATGTATTAAGTTTTAAGACTTCAATCACTCCACCCATTAATGTTTGAGACAATCAAAGCAAAGACATTGGTCTCAAGTTTGATGTTATGTTCAGAACAACACTTCTTCACTTTCTTTAGACATAAACTTCTAATATATCATTGAATTTGATTTTTGTGTTCACTTTCTTCGCCCAAACAATTCGTTTCATTCAATGGATTGTTTGATGTGTTTGTGTTTCAGAGTATTAAATGAGTGAAACACCAGTAAAACATTTCGTTTATTACATTTCATTAGATTTTCGTTATGGCAGACAAACCATAGTTTCATCGAAAAGAAATTGAGAAAAAAGAGAAAAAGAGAGAAAGTTTAAGTATTATATGATATCCAACTGTAAGGTCAAACATATAGTGTATAACTAAATGCTACGAAAAAACAAACATTAGGTTTATTTGTTTGGTGCCATTAAATGCCTTAAATATTATTGTTATTATCGATTTTGAATCGACATTCAAAGTGAAAGAAATGTAAACTTTTTACCTAATTATCCACAACTAACTCTACCATTACTATCATTACTCGCACTTTATTTATATTAAAGTCATACAAAACACCCGACAGATAGGATATTAAATGTATATTATTTTTGATAAATATATATTATTTAGTTTATTTAGAAAAAAATAACATTTAATTTCTCTTATTGAGAGCACCATTAAAATTATTTATATATATAAACAATAAAAAACATTGGCAAACTTTGCGAACAAATTGATATTAGAAAAAGATAAAAATGTGAATAAATGTCACTAATATAGTAGTCTAACAAACTATTATAATATAACATATCAAGTGTTGTGTTAAATAAAGGAAAATAGCGACTCAAGAATCATATGATTATTAGTTTTACTTTTAAAATGTTAAATAAAATAAGAAAATTATTTAACCAAAAGATTAGGTAAAAAATAAAAAATTATGAATGAGTTAAATAAATTTATACTATATTTAAGCATTTGATTGTAAAGATGAAACTTTTGAGACTCTATTATTATACTATATGTTTTGAAGTTATATTATATAATTATTTAAACATAAAACTATATAAATATTATACACTTGCTTTTATGAGTTTCTCATTTTTATATAAAATTTGTTTTAAATGGCAAACACTGTAAAAAGATAATGATTTTAGAATAACAAAAATTTTATATTAAGTAAATGTCATTTTTATAACGTTTCAAGCAAATGATATACAGTTATAAAATTACAGTATATAACTATATTGTATAAACATTTTTATAAGCATAAAAGCAAAATAAATAATATAAAAATAGAGAAAATAAGAGATAACTTTTATCTCTAAATAATATATATATATATATATATTGTAAACTAAAAGTAATCTTTTCATAAACTTTATCATTATATTCAACTCAGTTCTGGTCACTTAAAATAAAAAGCCATTTCTAGTATTAAAAGACATTGTATTTTTTAAAACATAACTATAACTGTTAGAAATTTGATCAGAATATAATCATAGACATTGAATGTCTGAAAAAACAATTTATGAACAAAACATAATTTGCTATTTAAATTTTATTTGCTTTCCCCTAATATTTATCTACTATATTATACTGGTATAACAACTACCACTTGCTATATGTAAACTACTTTTCCTAAAACACTCACTAAAAATATAATTTATCCGTTTTTTCTCTCAAAACACTTACTTTAAAGCATTGATGCGAACAATGCTTTACATGAGAGATATCATTTGATGTGAATAAATAAATGAGAGAAAAAAAGAGAGAATGAAATAAATAAAGAAAGAAAGAGAGAGAGAGAGAGAGAGAGAGAGAGAGAGAGAGAGAGAGAAAGAGAGAAGTGATGGCAATATAAATGAATCGAAAGATATCACTATTTTTCTGGTATTACAGTGTATTCTCTGAATTATTTTTTGTTGAATGCTTTAAACACTGAAATAGTCTCACATTTATACACAGAAACCCTTATTAACACATAAGGAAACTAACTTTCAAATGATAGCAAAACTTTTTAACTATATATTTGGTCAATACTATCATCTCTTTTTTAGATGTATTTCAGATCAACTCTTATAGTGAAGAAGTTCGTCACACTCTTTGGCTTTGTATTGCTTAAGAAAGAAAAAGACAAACAATACAAAAAAGTTATCAAAATGTGAGACAAATATTACATATACTGTATATATGAGAGTAAATGAAGAATTCATAAATTTTGTCAACTGATCCCTCAAATTCTCACCAATTGCTGCTCTATTCATGTGATTATCTAATAAAAATAACTGATACCCAATGCAACTAAATGTTTACCATAAGTTGTTTGTCATAAGATATACCAATAGATTTTGATAATATATTTGTGATATAAATAAGAAATAAAATTTATTACTCTATATATATGATATTATGGGTAATGGTATTGTTGAATATTTTATTACAATAATATTGTTCACATATTTATAATATCACCAAATAAAAGCAAAGTAAGCTATCAAATGATGAGAAAGTGTCTGTATGTGTAAAACAAAAGCAAATCAATAGCCATATATGCCATAAATATTATATATAGATAGTGAGTGATATCACTGTGTATTAGATGGCATCAAATTATTGGACTGTTTATCGATAGGCGCCGACAGACACATATAATACTTTACTAACTGTGCCATCAATGCCTTCATTGAGAAATGGGTTCACTTTTTGCATTAATACCACATCTCACGAGAGATGCAATCACTTGTCTGCTATTATAAGTAAAGAGAGAGAGAGAGAAAGAGAGAGAGAGAGAAGAGAGAGAGAGAGAGAGAAAGAGAGAGAGAAAGAAAGAGAGAGAGAGAAAGAAAGAGAGAGAGAGAGAGAGAGAGAGAGAGAGAGAGAAAGAAAGAGAGAGAGAGAGTCGTTAGGCAATGCTATTGAATGCCATTAATCAAAATGATATTAATTCACATTTCCTTTCTTCAGAGGCACACATCCCTCAAACATAAGACTATTGCCTAATAAATAGCGGACCAATGGTTTACTACAAAAGATATTTATCAGACATATATGAAAGTAATTATACAATACTTATGAGTCTAGTTATTGCATCAAAATTTAGTTATCAGTAAATATTATAAAGTAATTTATATTATATTATATATTTTTTGGTCAATTTTAAGTCAATCTTTCAAACTTTTCAATGTTGATATGTTTGTTAAATATTATCATTTATGTTATATTTTTGAAGAGAAATGACCACAAATTTGTTGCAACAATAAGTCACTCATCCATTAATGATTAGGTTTGCATTAAAATGCAGTATATATTCACACAAAATAAATGTCTATACATTGAGAGATAGAGTGTTATCTAATGGCTCATTGAGGCAAATGTCTCATTGAAAATGTGTTGCACTAATGAGCCTTATGTTTGTGCTGTCTATTCAGGCAATTATAACAATATTATAAGTTATAAAAACTACTATTAATGGCAAACTACTACTGTATTTGTTAAAATACTCTATAAAACTTTATTATCACATTTATTACTTAATAACTCGGATTAATATTCCAAAAGATGACATTAATATTTAAATAAATAATATTTATGTATAGAATATATCATTGGATAATATGTATAAAGAAATTAACAAATAATACTGTTTTTATATGAAAACCATTTTCCACTAATACCATCAATGGTTATGACATACAATTGTTGACATTCATAGTGTAAGAGTGACCCAAAACTATTATTTGTCTCAAATAATGTCAGTCTATCAATAAGATTGTAACAAATGATAAAACACATCATAACCTTTATATAAGGTTATCTATAACTAGATTTGTATGAATTTATTGAAAACCGATGAGAGTTTCCATTAAGTGAACTATCGGTTCACATAAGGCATTGATATAACAATTTAATACCAATAAAGTTGTCACAAAACACATATCCAGACAATGATTGTGTCACTGAAATCACTAAAATTATATAAACAATACAATCAAATGATAGAAATTGCAGAAAACATTTTTTAAGACTCAATCACTTAATAATAGTTTTAATAACAGTCAATGCATTTGTCATATTTAATGTTTTTAAACACATTTGTAAAGTTTGCAATTAATGTTTCTATTGATTATAACATTTGTATTATAAAATTGTGTATTTCTTTTTGTGCCATAAATTGATTCTTAAAAACAACTACTCTATTATTTTGTCGTCAAAATATAAAAAATTATTTCATTTTAAAAAAGATTTTATTTTTATTACAAAATATTGTGTTATGTTTGAGTTATTTTTATAAAGAGTTTAGTAAAAATTATAATTGAATTGATATCTCAAATATAAGCAATGCATCAATCGATTTATTGAACCTTTTTTATTGTGTATTGTTTTTCACTATCTAAAGATTAAATGGAGTTTTATTTCAAATTATTTTAGCGATTCAACTGAAAAAAGTATTATTTTTGCTAATGAATTGAATCCAAAAACACATTTCTATATTTTAATTAACTTTTCACTGTTAATAAATAATTATAAAATAATTCACATGTAATATTATATGTGAATTTCATATTATATTAACTAATAAATTAGTCAATTTGATAAAATAAAAATAATTTAATTTAAAAACATTATATTTATAGAATATGAAAAAATTTGCATTTTTATAGTTCATATCAATTAATAGCAAAAATGTTCATTTGATTTAAACTCATATAAACTTTAAATACACGACAAACTTGAGTCCAAAATAGTTAGCTTCGGGTTATTCTAATTAATATCTTTTGAAAAATAAATATTTGAATTAATTTATAGTTAAATAATTTGTTAAATTAGTTGTTGCAATCAATAATACACAATAAATCATTTTGTTAAAATTTTATTATATATATTTTAAAGTTACAAAAATTAGAATTTTATTTATTAATTATTTATTTATAAGTATAACTTTATGTGATATCCGATTTTTATAGTATTTTATACAAATTTAATCTTATTATCAATTGTTTTACTATAAGTTTATATTTAATTTAAATACAATGTTTTGATAAAAACAACGATTTTTAATATAAAAATTGACATTTTAAAGAAATGTTTAATAAAAAAATAATAATAATAATTACTAAATTTCTAAGGAGTGTTTAAAAATCTGTTATATCTAAACATGTGATTCCTATTGAAATATTTTCAAAAAATACATTTCGGACTTTAAATGTATTTAAAAACACAGTTTCATTAGTGAGTTTGACTAAAATATAATCAGTGAAATTAGATATTAAATTAAAATAAAAATTTTGTATTTCATATATAGTTTGCAAATCAAATAATGATTGTCAGTTCATTTATATACTAATTATAATAATATATAAAGATAAACATAATAATAAATATATATTTTATATATAATATAAATATTACTTATTTACTAATTTGTAGAATTTTAATTCAATTATAACTTTATAATATAAATATTCAATTCTGATTTATTAGAAATTTATTTAATAGCCATCTATAATTATTATATTTGAATTGGTTCATAACATATACATTTACTGAAACCGCCCAATGTATTGATATTTTAACACTTAAATATATTTTTTATTTACTTTATATATGTATTTATTGAAATCTTATTAAAATTATATTATCCTTTAAGGCATATGTAGAACATAATGACATTTTTAGTATTATATTTGTTATACTATACTTTTTTACAATTTGAATAATTTACTATATTTGTCATTTTATTACCAAAATAATAAAAAATTTATAAAATAATAATTTATTTTTAAAATAGATTTTACTTTTTTGATAATAGGATAGAGAGGTTTAAATATAAAATAATACTGATATTTTATATGCATATAAAATAAAATTTTTGTATAAAGATTTTTAAATAATTTATAATTATAATTACTTTTATTTAATAATATAACTGTATAAATAATAAGATATTAAAAAACTACAATTTTTCACAAGAATTTATTTATGTTCAATTTTATAGCAATATATAATAATAATACTTATAATTAACATTACATCACATCAAACCAATCTAATGTTATTTGACTATAAAATCTATTTTATTATAGTTTTAATCGTGAAAATACTTAATTAAAACAAAATACCAAACTTTTGTACATACAGTTTAACTTTTGTTGTTATTGTTGTTATTAGTATAATAATCGCATTAAAGTAAAAGTGAATCCAATGTTGAAGTGCTACACAAGTTTTTGACACAACTTTTGACACAAATTGGCAAATACTGGGACATAGTTTTGGAGACACAATGTCTTAACTGTAAAATGTTTGATAATATTGGACACGAATTAAGTGTTTATAAGAAAAACGAATTCACTATCGAAATGACTGTTCCCTAGAATTTCACAGAATATTCTGATAGAGTGTTTGCAGTGAATGTAAGCCTAGCATTGCATCGACTGACTTATACGCCAGTCCTGTACTCATGAATACCAGTGCTCTCTAACTGTTTGCCATTATATTGATCGATAAACTCAAAGCAATATTCCGTATTTTCTTTAATACAAACTATATATTTTAACTATATATACAGTATATATATATAGTATAATATATATTATATATTATAATTTATAAAAAACTTTTTTCATTTGCAACCTCTTTACTAAAACTCTACATTCAATATGTTTCACACTAACAAACAAATTACTCGACAAGAGTTTTATCCCTTTTATGTTTTGAAACAAATAAAATGCAAATTTACTAAAAATTAAGTCTAATTTTGTTAATAAATTTAATAAAATTTCTGCACTAAAAATTGAATAATATAAATTTATATCCAAACAATTATATACAGTACAAATATATTGTATACGCATAAGCAATGTTATCGTTTAAAACTAAATTTAATTATTTATGTGGTTTTTAGTTTTTCAAAAATTTACTAAGAGATTGAGGCTATAACAATAATTATTACATATATAGTAAACTAAAAATATCAATAATTTTATTATTGTTTGATGTATATTTGTCAAAACACTTTAACAATAAAACAAAAATATTATAATTTAGTTTTGATTTTGGTTTATAAAATTTATTTTTTGATTCAATGTTGCATTTTTTATATTGGTTTAATAGATTTTAGTTTTTAACAAATCATAAAATACTTATATTCATTATACTGTATCTAAAGCGTTATATTATTATTTTATAAATACATTAACTATGAATTAATGATCCCAATGTTATTCAAACTAAAATGTTAGACAACTATTGTAGGATCCATTAAAATTATATGTTTTAGTAAAAAAAATTATAGATAAACTCAAATATAATAAAGTAACTCAAAATGAGTGAATGAAATATTGACTTTTATGATATATTACTACAATATTAATTATTTATTGTATTTTTAAATAGTCTTAAAATTTATTTTAAGTTATTAGACAGTTGCTTTAAAAATTGAATTTTTGATTGAAAAATATTAAACAAACATTAATAGTATTGTAAAATTTATTTTTAAATTGTTTATTGATAGTTTTTATATAATTTAAATATTTAAATTAACTTAAATAAAACTAAACATTTAATAAACTTCAATTAAAAATATTAAACATATTACTTAAATAATTATAATAACTATAATAATTATATTACTAAAAAAATAAAAATAAAAATTTAATGCTTTGTAGTAAGTTGACAAAAATTAGTTTTAAATTACAAAAAATAATACCCAGATTGATTATTTCTATTAATTGATTTTTAAAATTTTTATATTTTAAAAAAATTTTAAGTTAGAAAATTTAAGTTAATATAATAAATATATCCACTGTATAAATATTTAAAAAAAATATTATATACTGTCTCTGAATTAAATCGTAGACTACACTAAACCTGTATAAATTGTATAAAAAAATATTTTAAAATTATAAATTGACATAAATATAAAGCATTCAATAATAAGTTATATAAATATTACAATTTCAATTTCATATAAAATTTATATTTAACTAAAAAACTGATTAAACACTTTTACTAAAAATTTGATTTCCGTAGAGATTTAAAATTTTTATTATTAAAGAAAATTTAATGTTTGAAAATAATATTTTTATAATAATAAATTCAATATATAATCTATGAATATTGAGTTAATATTTTTGTCGAAATCGTCATTGATTTTTCATTTAATCAATATATAAATAAACTTTTTTTTTGTCAAATCATAAAAATGAGAGTCAATTATATAAATGATACTTCATTTCGATTGAATATAACATTTCTCTGTTAAAATACTAAATATTTTTTGCAAATAAAAATAACTATTAATATTAGTATTAGTATACAATAATTGATATTAATAAGGTTATTGTTTATATTATTTTTGGTGTTAATATTAATTAAATTGATAGTGTTTGACATAAAAAGGTTTTCAGATATTTCCGATAAATTTTCTTTAATAAAAATATTAAGAAATAGTCATCAGTTTTAAATTATATATTTATTGTTTGTATCCATAATATTATTAAAAAGATATAAAAGTTGTTAACAAAGATCGGAAGGAGTGGTGTAATCAAAAGCATTGTATAGTAATATGTGTCTGAACTTATATAAAACTATTATAATATAAAATCAATTTATACTTATAAGTTATGGAAAGTAAATGAAAATTATGTAATTTTGATGCTATTTTATGTGTTATGTTATGACTTATAAAATTCAAATATATAGTATTTTGTGTGTGTTTATATATAGTACTTATTTATTTTATTAAATAATTATATTTAAATGACATGATTTGAGTTGAAATAAATATTTTATTAATACTGTATTTGCTTACAATAGATCGTAATTTTTATATACTGTAATTAATTTACAATTATTGGTTTCTCCACTTTAAACTTTCATTAGATCAAACGACTCTTATTATTATGACTTTATGTTTAGCTTATATGTTTAAATTGACCTTGTTCAAACTTTTAAGATATTAAAGATTTTAAAATAGGATTAAATATATAAAAAGTAGAATAGGATTATTTGAAAAAATCACCTTGTATATTTTAAAAACAAATTCTATATTAGAAAATTATATTGAGACTTTATAATGCTTAATTTGTACTTATTTTTTATAAAAATATTATTTTAATTTAATCATATTTGTTTAATTTAATTGTAAATATTAATGACAAAAATGCTTATATTTTATAAAAATATTTATTACTTAATTAAACATAGATTTTGAGTTAATGAAAATTTACTAATTATTCATTGTTTAATATTTTAGAAATTTTATAAATAATTTCTTATTATTACAGAAAAACTTATCACATTATTTGAAGTTAATGTCAATTCATTGAATTAGTCCCAAAGGTTTTATTATAGACTTAATTCTGTCATTTATTAGATAATATTGGATATGATTTGTAATATAATTTAATATAATATTTATTATAATAGTTATTATATTTACATTCAATTTTTATTTTTTATTTCCTTCAATGTGATTATATGTAATTTTTAAAGAATATTAAGTATTAATTTTTAAAATATATTTTAACTCATAAACTAATAACATTTTGAATAATATCAATGATTATGATTTCATATACAGAGTAGTTATATAATACTTTACATTGAGTTTGAGTTATTAATCTCATTAAATAATAATAATAAGATTAAAAATATTAGTCTGTGATAATTTTAATTAGATTAATATTTTTATTATTTAATTTATAATTATTTGAAAGAAATGATTTGATAAAGTCTATGTTAAATCACAAAATGATTACTCAATTTTATTAGTTATTCAATACTTTCATTAATACAGTATATTATTTACAAAATTAATTTTACAATTAATTATATTTTTTCGTATGTCATTCTTTATAAATATAAAAAAAATTAATCAAAATAATCAATACAAACGAGAAAATAAGTAAAATTGTTGAAAACTTTTTTTTTAATTAATAGCTATAATTAATAATAAATGAAAATATAGTCAACTTTACTATATTTTACAATATTAAACAAAAGTACATTAAATATTATACTTAATATTTATGAAAGATTTTTAGAATACGATAAATCTTTTTATATTTATAGGTCAATACTATATAATATAGTGTTTTCATTGTATATAAGATCAATATAAATAAGTTTTAAAGTTAAATTTATTTACAAAAAATATCAAAATAAAAAAATAATGCAATTAGTCAATTATGTTATTAAAAGATAACATATTATAAAAAACATGAGAACATAAAATAAGTGAACACTAATTGTGTTTTTTCAAAATTGTTTGCAATTTTTTTTTTTGGATAACATTACTTATATTGTCAAAACACTACTGTTTGCTATGAGAAACACCAATTTGGATGATATAATGTTAAACAACAATTTATTATTGATTTTACAATAAGTTTAAAAAAAGTTTTTGAGATGTGTCTATAATTTTATAAATTATATTTATTAGTGTACATAAATTTTCCTTTATTTAATATACTTTGTTTGGTTTAAATTAAAATTATTTTTTTAAAAGTTAAAAACATATATAAATAAATGTTTGTTTGTTTTTAATATACAAAATAAACATTTTTTAGTTATACTTTTAAATTTAATATTTAAACAAATAAATCAGTTTAAAATATGCACTTCAGATATATTAGTACATTATTTTCAATTAACAAAAAAAGTCATTTTTAATGACAATAAAAATCATTGAGAAATAGTAGACATGTTTTTAAAGTAAGTTTTCATTGTTATTGGCAAACATAGGCTTAAAGCCAAATGTTTCCGTAATGACAAAGTTGTTGTTGTTTTGCAGTCAAACTTGAAGTCAAAATTAAATTCATTTCCTCTCAAAATTGCAACTCTTTTAAAGTGCATTAAGACGTCCACTACTACTACTAAAATACAATAAAACTATTGGTTAACAGTATTGGTCACTACACTCATCACTGGACTTAAGGCTTAACTTTTAGTTTTAACAATAAAAACAAAAAATTCAACATTTATTGTGTGTCTCTATTTTAGTTCAAAACAAAATGATGAGATCTTTGGGATTTAGAAATTGTTTTTACTTTTACACTAATTTTTCTCTTGATATTAGAGTTGATACTTAGTAGTGATAACTAAAACTAACAATTTCTATAAATTGATAGGAAATTTCTAGTAAATAAAAAATAAAGTTTTTTCTATTTAAAAAAATAATAGGAAAAATTATAAGAAAATTTCTTATATAAAATTTCTAAATTATTTTTATTTATCCAACACTAACAATACTTTACTAAATACTGTACACAATTGTAAACATCTATTTTTTTATTATTACATTCTTTAGTTGTTTTACCAAAAAATTATTGTGAAAAACCTTTCAATTCATTATTTAATAACATATTTTATATATAATTATTT